GGGAAAATTCTACGAGCGAAGAGTTTGATTTGCTGTTTATCTATGGGGGAATGAAACAGGGTCACATAATGCGCATTCAAAGCAATGTCTCTCGATTCCTTACCCCTCGGAAACAGATTTTGTATCAAGAGAAAGATCAATACATTCTTGTGATGTGAGGTTTGAGTAAACAACCGCGAAATACGCTTGTCGTGCTTTGCTTCGGCCAGGAAATCATCCAGGACCAACACGTTCTGTTGACGAGCATCAAAGTAATCCTCGTCCAAGATATCGTAGGGAATTCCTTTGACAAAGGTCAGCTGAGGCAGCTGCTCACCGAGGTCCTGATATAATGGCTGCCATTGAGTATAACACCAAACGATGCGGGTAGGTTGGGGTTGGATCAGGCCATGCCGGAGTACATGAGAGGTAAACACAGACTTTCCACAACCACTGGGTCCCACAACCAGCGCATTTGAGGGAATCAGGAACTTGAATTGTTCTCGAAAATCAGATATACATGGTAAATGAGGCAGCCACGAGTGGACTTGCGATGGCGGCGGCGGCGGTGGATGGGCTTGGAACGGCGGGTTGGCTTGACGTAGCGGCGGCGGCGGCGGTGGGTGGACTTGCGGCGGCGGCGGCGTTAGCGGGTGGGCTTGTAATGGCGGGTGGATTTGCGGCGGCGGTAGCGGATGGGCTTGCGGCGGCGGCGTTAGCGGGTGGGCTTGTAATGGCGAGTGGACTTGCGGCGGCGGGTGGGCTTGTAACGGCGGCGGCGGTATGCTATGTTTATTTCTCCTGTGTCGTAACATGACATCTCTCCTTGAAAACATTTTTTCACAGTCCGGACAGGTGGCAACCCCCATGGTGATCCAATACGGTGTGCGATTAGAGGGTATGAAGCTTTCTTTTATACCCTTGACTCTGTTGACGCTTCAAGGCAGCAAGTGCCCGTTCCACCACAGCCTTCACCTCCGACACATGTTGTATTTTCACGGGTTGGGGTGTTGTCTTCGATCCCTGTTTGGCTGTCATCGTTTTCTTTTTAGGTGTTACCTGTCTCTTCTTTGTCTTCAGCGTCGACTTCTTGGCTGCTTGTGGTTTCTTTCTCTGTTGTGATTTTCTCAACGTAGTCTTCCTAAATATATCTCTAGGGTCAAGTCTAATCTCTGATGCTTTCTTCATGTTGTTCACGTCCAATCCGTTTGCTGGCGAGAGTAAAACTGTTTGTCGGGCTACACTACTGTAGAGTTTATACTGTCTTACACGTGCAGGGAATCTTGGAAGACACTCTTTTCTTCACAGCACACTTGTGAGTATATTAAAAAAGCGATCATATTAGTATATAGTCTTCGTCATACTACACCCGTGAAGGTCCCGGGTTATAGAATCGACCTTCAGTAACCCATGCTTATCGGCGACTGACGGGGATCGGTTGGTCCGACTCGGATGACACGTGCCATCGGTTCCTAGTTGCACAGATCGCTGCTCATGCTGTTGATCACTGGATTGTCTGTTCCAAGCTCGTTTATTGACAGACCACCGCCCTAGAGCTGGAATAATGCCGAGTGTGGCGTAAAACTAAATTCACTCACTCACTGATGCCAATACATCTAAAAAGTAATGTCATCATTTAAATGGTGAGTTTAAACGCGTATTTTACCCTTACAAGGACGAGTGCATTCCACACACCCTTCCTGTTATCAATGTGTCACTGTTTACAATTCGGGCGAACATAACCCTATAGACATGTGTGCGGGCGAGTTCATTCATCAGAAATCTGTCATTTACGATGTGTTTATAAATATGAACTGCTAACCACGCTCATAGTCATGTTGCGTGTCGTGGTTAGAACCGTAATTGATCTATTGAAAGGTGTCATACATTCGTGTTCGGATATAGGTACAACATCTTCACGCACATACTTTCCTACATCATTCAAATGTATTAAATACCGGATACGTTTAATAGACACCAACGAAAGAAAAGTTTAATGAGGGGGGGAATACCCATATATATCCTCTCTGAAATAACTCCCTTTTAAAATAACAAATGTACAACCCATGTTCCCTAACGTATCATAAATACGGGACACTGCTCACACAATTTATGAATGGGAAGCTTCAGGCGAGGCTGTTATGTTGACATTAATTGTAAGGCCGGGGTATGTTGACATTGTTATGGGCGGCCGGTCGCTTAGTCTCTCTGCTATATATTAGCTATGAATAAACCTGCTTCGACATATATTTCCAATAAAACATTTTCCTCGGAGACATGAATCCTTCCACGGAACAATCCGTTCTCAAAAATAAAATCAAACTCCTCCTAAAACCCAAGATGAAAGAGATCCTGCCTTTGATGGATATGCCGGAAATAGAAAGTGAGACTGAATCTGATAGCGTTGCAGAGGATAACGACGGTGATGACGAGGAGGAGGATGATGACCGTGAGCAGAACGATTAGGCATAAATACCCATCACTACTATATCAGTCTAACAGTCAGAAGAGAATGCCGAGTCAACGCCACGCGTCTAGTTTGATTCATATTTTGAAAACACCTCGTAAACTGAGGCGTTTGAACGATAAGAAACGCCGAATTTCCCTCTACGTGAGAGGAATGGTGAAACTGGGACCGCCTGGACGGAAATCGTTACAAGCAATGGATAAAGCATAGACTATAGACAACCATTCAACCTTAAAACAGCGTAGAAAAGGAAACATTCAACAGTGCGAAATGTGTTTCAAAACGTGGACTCGCTGTTTAAACAATAGGGCCTTCGAGCAGCAGCAGCAGCATGTGTATATGAGTGACTAAATAATGTTCCAGAGTGAATACTATTGTCCATTCGTATATCACGGCTTTGTATGGAACCGATTGACTCGAATCAATAAATGCTACGAATGAATTGTTTGGTTTTTTTTTCTCAGTTTTTTTGCATATGAGTATATAGTCTTCGTCATACTACACCCGTGAAGGTCCCGGGTTATAAAAATCGACCTTCAGTAACCCATGCTTATCGGCGACTGACGGGGATCGGTTGGTCCGACTCGGATGACACGTGCCGTCGGTTCCTAGTTGCACAGATCGCTGTTCATGCTGTTGATCACTGGATTGTCTGGTCCAAGCTCGTTTATTGACAGACCACCGTCCTAGAGCTGGAATAAAGCCGAGTGGGGCGTAAAACTAAATTCACTCACTCACTGATACCAATTATACATCTAAAAAGTAATGTCATCATCATTTAAATGGTGAGTTTAAACGCGTATTTTACCCTTACAAGGACGAGTGCATTCCACACACCCTTCCTGTGTCATACATTCGTGTTCGGATATAGGTACAACATCTTCACGCACATACTTTTCCTACATCATTCAAATGTATTAAATACCGGATACGTTTAATAGACACCAACGAAAGAAAAGTTTAATGAGGGGGGAATACCCATATATATATCCTCTCTGAAATAACTCCCTTTTAAAATAACAAATGTACAACACATCTTCCCTAACGTTTCATAAATACGGGACACTGCTCACACCATTTATGAATGGGATGCTTCAGGCGAGGCTGGTATGTTGACATTAATTGTAAGGCCGGGGTATGTTGACATTGTTATGGGCGGTCGGTGGCTTAGTCTCTCTGCTATACATTAGCTATGAATAAACCTATATTTCCAATAAAACATTTTCCTCGTGAAACATTTTTCCATGATAAACTCTGTTCTCTCTTCGAATTAAGGGTGAGTATTGTAAACATGAAAATGTCCTATAGATTGCTTCCATCACTTTCCCAACAAACCTAGCTTCGTGCCGTCACATTGCTACATGTAGTTATCGGTTTTTTATCTATTTTCAAAATAATATGTTACACGGTTAAAACTCAAACCGTAGGGTTTATTTGTCATCGTCTCTATTGCGGTATGGTTGTACTTTCAAGACACACCCTGCATTCATCAAAACCAGATCGCACGCTCTCGCGAGCGCGGTCAATTTGAAACGACTACGTGAGTTGTAGACTAATTGTAATTTCTACTAACGCTTGAAATAAACGAAACCATTAAACAATTTGAAACGACGTGGTCACGTGAGTTGTCCAGCGCGCTCGATTCAAACTGGGCTGCTTGTCTATTCAGGGCAGCACGCCATACGCATAGCTCTATCGAATACCCTTTACTTTTGTTTACTTACGAATTCTTTTCTGTCTTATACACACACACCTTTCATTCCCCCTCACCTGTGACGCGCTGTTGATGCATGAGTCATCCTATCCGATCACGTGACTTGGATCAGCCAATCACCTTCGCATCCGCCTGGATCAACCGGATCAACCAAAAGGGGTTCCTGCGCCCTCACTATATACTACTCTCGTGGGTTATTCTATAACAACCAAACCTCTACACACCTCCATAGGCTTGTGTTGTGGGGAGCTATTCATTCCAGTAATTCCCATGTGGTTTTGTTTGTTGTTTAACGCAGCACTCAGCATATTCCAGCTATATGAAGGTGGTCTGTAAGAATGAATCTGGACCAGACATTCTAGTGGTTGAAATCATGAGCATCAATCCACGCAATTGGAATGCGATGACATGCATCAACCTACCCGATCTCCTCTTACGAAAGCATAGTTGCCTTTCACGGCAAGCATGGGTTGCTGAAGACCTATTCTCTACTGACCCGTGAAGATCCAGTGTAGAATAGGTCTTCAGCAACCTATGCTTGCCATAAAAGGCAACTTTGGTTGTCGTAAGAGGCGACTAACGGGATTGGGTGGTCAGGCTCACTGACTTTGTTGATGTATGTCATCGATCCCAATTGCGTGGATCGATGCCCATGATGTTAATCACTGGATTGTCTGGTCCAGACTCCATTATTTACAGACCGCTGTCATATAGCTGGAATATTGCTGAGTGCAGCGTTAATCAACCAACCAACCTATTCTCTACCCTGGATCTTCACAGGTCTCCCACCTGGTCAGTGCACTCAAGTGACATATGTAAATATAACAAAGACACGTCACACAACATTCTGAACATTTATATTTATTTTCAAATAAAAATAAAGACAAATATCACAGAATATAATTCTGTTTTTACAGTTGAAGCACATGTACTTATATTCACTGCACAACTGTACAGTGATGGTGAAGCTTGTATCGGTCGTTATGCAACTAACAAGAAACTAGAAACAAAGTAACCTAACAAACAGGATTACACTTGCACTTTACCGGACACTCTCTGCCATATGTTTGATGCAACATAGGGGTGGTCGGGTAGCCTAGTGGTTAAAGTGTTCACTCATCACGCCGAAGACCTGGGTTCCATTCCCGACATGGGTACAATGTCTGGAGCCCATTTCTGGTGTCCCCCGACATCATATTGCTGGAATGTTTCTAAAAGAGGAGTAAAACCATACTCACTCACTCACTCACTGATAGGAAAATTAGGATGATAAAGCTCAGAAAAAGCAGAAGAAAGCAACTCAAACATCAAGAATAGAAGTTTCATAATGGCTTGTAGCCACCTCATCAGTGACATACCTTGGGGCCACTTTTCTACAAATACATCACAATTTCATCACCTTTGGTAAATTTACATTTAATAACAAACGCATTTGTTTTAAGTTGCTATGTGGAAAGAGCCCCCCAAAATCTAGTCCTTTTTTTATATAGCAAAATTGGGTCTGAAAAACTTAGATAGTAATTCTGTGGCAAAGGAAGGAGCTCATCCACATCCATTACCAAACAGGCAGAAGGTGTCGAGTAAAATGTATTCCTGCCCAAACAGGCAAGTTAAGACGTTGGATGAACAATCCTTGTACAAAACTGTTACAGTACCTAGTGTGTTTGTCATCATGCCTCTGTTTTCCCAGCAGTTAATGGGTACCTGGTAGGATGTGATGGCAATGTGGTTGTTAACCTTCTAGGGCTTAACAGGCAGCATGGGGTGCATACTCCCCAGGGAGTCGAGGATGATAGTTGAGTGCACATTGATCCAGTGACCATGTGGGGAATCGAACCAGGGTCTTTGACGTGACAAGCGAACTCTTAAACCACTAGGCTACCCCACAGCCCATTTGGGCAAGGTTACTTATTCATGGCCTTACAATAAAGATTACTGCCAAGACTGCTTTTGGAGTCCCAGCTTATAAATCAATCTAAGCAACATGACTACTATCACCTCTACTCTAACTGTGACCCACTTTGAAAAAAGATCAGTGAATAGAGCTGTAAGTGGTTATTACCATTTATCATCCAAAACTGGCTCCTACATTGTAGATATCGCTGCAATGAAATTGCATCACAATGCTTTGCAGACCGTTGTGACATCATTGGTTACCATGACGTCACAATCATATGACATCACTTATGGCTCTGCTACTGAAGCTGTTAGCAGTACTTTTTACACTTAAGACACTGCTTATTACTGTCTACAAACTGAAAAGTTGGAAGAATGATGTTGGATGATAAATAAATCTCTCTCGTTCCAAGCCTTGGAGTTTTACCACTTCTATCAACTCGGGTTGATATACTTGATATCAAAAGACACTCAGGTGAGATTCTCTATATGCACCAGCAATGTGACAGCAAGTAGTTCAGATTGACTGAACAATGCTTAGTCCTGCAGCTATTCTCTGGGATTCTGAAGATCAAAAACAAGCTCCCTGAATAATTATAATTACACAATTACTAATTTCTTTTGGTTATGGACGCTTCTCATGGTAAGAAACTTGTTGCTTACACCGCCAGGTACATCTTCCCGAGCAAGCATGTCCACAAGTGCCTCGTGACAAGTCTTTGATATAGACTGGTGGAAATGCTTTCCTGGTTAGATGCAACTAGATGTGATATAGGCTGGTGGAAACGCTTGTCTGGGAAGATGCAACTAGATGTGATACAGGCTGGTGGAAATGCTTGTCTGGGAAGATGCAACTAGATGTGATACAGGCTGGTGGAAACGCTTGTCTGGGAAGATGCAACTAGATGTGATTGGAAACGCTTGCCTGGGAAGATGCAACTAGATGTGATATAGGCTGGTGGAAACACTTGTCTGGGAAGATGCAACTAGATGTGATTGGAAACGCTTGCCTGGGAAGATGCAACTAGATGTGATATAGGCTGGTGGAAACGCTTGTCTGGGAAGATGCAACTAGATGTGATATAGGCTGGTGGAAACACTTGCCTGGGAAGATGCAACTAGATGTGATATAGGCTGGTGGAAACGCTTGCCTGGGAAGATGCGACTAGATGTGATATAGGCTGGTGGAAACACTTGTCTGGGAAGATGCAACTAGATGTGATTGGAAACGCTTGCCTGGGAAGATGCAACTAGATGTGATATAGGCTGGTGGAAACGCTTGTCTGGGAAGATGCAACTAGATGTGATATAGACTGGTGGAAACGCTTGTCTGGGAAGATGCAACTAGATGTGATTGGAAACGCTTGCCTGGGAAGATGCAACTAGATGTGATATAGGCTGGTGGAAACGCTTGTCTGGGAAGATGCAACTAGATGTGATATAGGCTGGTGGAAACACTTGTCTGGGAAGATGCAACTAGATGTGATTGGAAACGCTTGCCTGGGAAGATGCAACTAGATGTGATATAGGCTGGTGGAAACGCTTGTCTGGGAAGATGCAACTAGATGTGATATAGACTGGTGGAAACGCTTGTCTGGGAAGATGCAACTAGATGTGATATAGGCTGGTGGAAACACTTGCCTGGGAAGATGCAACTAGATGTGATATAGGCTGGTGGAAACGCTTGCCTGGGAAGATGCAACTAGATGTGATATAGGCTGGTGGAAACGCTTGTCTGGGAAGATACAACTAGATGTGATATAGACTGGTGGAAACGCTTGTCTGGGAAGATACAACTAGATGTGATATAGGCTGGTGGAAACGCTTGTCTGGGAAGATACGACTAGATGTGATATAGACTGGTGGTAACGCTTGTCTGGGAAGATGCAACTAGATGTGATATAGGCTGGTGGAAACGCTTGTCTGGGAAGATGCAACTAGATGTGATATAGGCTGGTGGAAACACTTGCCTGGGAAGATGCAACTAGATGTGATATAGGCTGGTGGAAACGCTTGCCTGGGAAGATGCAACTAGATGTGATATAGGCTGGTGGAAACGCTTGCCTGGGAAGATGCAACTAGATGTGATATAGGCTGGTGGAAACACCTGCCTGGGAAGATGCAACTAGATGTGATATAGACTGGTGGAAACACTTGTCTGGGAAGATGCAACTAGATGTGATATAGGCTGGTGGAAACGCTTGCCTGGGAAGATGCGACTAGATGTGATATAGGCTGGTGGAAACACTTGCCTGGGAAGATGCAACTAGATGTGATATAGGCTGGTGGAAACGCTTGCCTGGGAAGATGCAACTAGATGTGATATAGGCTGGTGGAAACACCTGCCTGGGAAGATGCAACTAGATGTGATAAATACTGGTGGAAACACTTGTCTGGGAAGATGCAACTAGATGTGATATAGGCTGGTGGAAACGCTTGCCTGGGAAGATGCGACTAGATGTGATATAGGCTGGTGGAAACACTTGTCTGGGAAGATGCAACTAGATGTGATATAGGCTGGTGGAAACGCTTGCCTGGGAAGATGCAACTAGATGTGATATAGACTAGTGGAAACGCTTGTCTGGGAAGATGCAACTAGATGTGATATAGGCTGGTGGAAACGCTTGCCTGGGAAGATGCAACTAGATGTGATATAGGCTGGTGGAAACGCTTGCCTGGGAAGATGCAACTAGATGTGATATAGGCTGGTGGAAACACCTGCCTGGGAAGATGCAACTAGATGTGATATAGACTGGTGGAAACACTTGTCTGGGAAGATGCAACTAGATGTGATATAGGCTGGTGGAAACGCTTGTCTGGGAAGATGTAACTAGATGTGATATAGGCTGGTGGAAACGCTTGTCTGGGAAGATGCAACTAGATGTGATATAGGCTAGTGGAAACACCTGTCTGGGAAGATGCAACTAGATGTGATATAGGCTGGTGGAAACGCTTGTCTGGGAAGATACAACTAGATGTGATATAGACTGGTGGAAACGCTTGCCTGGGAAGATGCAACTAGATGTGATATAGACTGGTGGAAACGCTTGCCTGGGAAGATGCGACTAGATGTGATATAGACTAGTGGAAACGCTTGTCTGGGAAGATGCAACTAGATGTGATATATGCTGGTGGAAACGCTTGCCTGGGAAGATGCAACTAGATGTGATATAGGCTGGTGGAAACGCTTGTCTGGGAAGATGCAACTAGATGTGATATAGGCTGGAGGAAACGCTTGTCTGGGAAGATGCAACTAGATGTGATATAGACTTGTGGAAACGCTTGTCTGGGAAGATGCAACTAGATGTGATATAGACTTGTGGAAACGCTTGTCTGGGAAGATGCAACTAGATGTGATATAGGCTGGTGGAAACGCTTGTCTGGGAAGATGCAACTAGATGTGATATAGGCTGGTGGAAACGCTTGCCTGGGAAGATGCAACTAGATGTGATATAGGCTGGTGGAAACGCTTGTCTGGGCAGATGCAACTAGATGTGATATAGGCTGGTGGAAACACTTGTCTGGGAAGATGCAACTAGATGTGATATAGACTGGTGGAATTGCTTGCCTGGGAAGATGCAACTAGATGTGATATAGGCTGGTGGAAACGCTTGTCTGGGAAGATGCAACTAGATGTGATATAGACTGGTGGAAACACCTGCCTGGGAAGATGCAACTAAACTTTGAAATAAGCTGGTGGAAACAATTGTCTGGGAAAGATGCCCTAGGCATTGTATACCGGTCACCACAAGGCACACAAGGAGTCTAGCACTGACACCAAGTAGCACTGCCAGCCACCCAGCAGTACAGTTTTGCATGTTACATCCATCACAGTTTGCCACACCAGTCACACAATGTTGGCTCTTTGCAAAGGTAGCATAACTAACTTTTGACATGTGAAGAACGTGGCCATTTTCTGGGAAATTCTTAACAATTAAAGCTGATTCCACCAAATTATGCAGCTGAAGTATTTTATTCAAACATTGCCATTATTCTGATTCCTATTCCAGATATATTAAAAATGTATCTAAAGAAAATTATCACCAGTAATATCAAAAAGGAAATTACAACTCATAAACGTTTGCTTAACTATCTCAATACCAGTCCCGGGTAGACACCAACACAGACAATTTATCTGCCTCCTTAAAAATGTCAGATGATACTAACAAGTAGTTTGGGGAGTTTTGCCTTTAGTTTTCATCCAAATGTATCAGCATTTAACCAAATATCCTGTATTATTTACACATAAACACTATCTTCAATATAATTTTGATTTATGTGCAACAAGGATATTTTGGGCAGCTGAGCAAGACAATACACAGGAATCTGTAACTTTTTACAACAAAGACATTTTTGTCATAAGATATATTTTTTTTACCTAGATGTGATTTGTAGCCACAGTTGTTATAGAAGCCACATGCCAACATTTAAACTATCACCGTTGTACTTCACTGACAACCTGCACACTTCATAGCAACAGTTTTGCTGAATAGGTGAAAAAAATAAAAAATAAAAAATTGTTGGCACTAAGCATTATTCCAGCTCAGTGATTGACCTTGTCTATCATTCAACGGGGTAGCGGAGTTCTCCGTTATAACAAAGAACTCTACTCGTTGAACTACAGTACTTTTTTAAAGATCAATCATTTAGATCGACTTATAATGTGATGAATGACCTACATCTATGTTGATTGTTTGTTTGTTGTTTAACGCCGCACTCAGCAATATGCATGCTATATGACGGCGGCCTCTAAAAAATCAAGTCTGGACGAGACATTCCAGTGATTGCCACAAAGAGCATCGATCTAGACAAGTGGCATACAAAGACATATATCAAGTAAGTCAGCGGTCTGACCACCTGATCCTGTTAGTCTGCCTCTTACAACAAACATTGGTTGCTGAAGACCAGTTCTAACGCACATCTTCACAGGGCAGATCTATATTATCAAGTAGAAAGAGTGAGCTTAATGCCACAATGAAAAGCATCTAAGTTATATCATAGCACGTCACCTTAATGTTGAAAGCCCAAAGTAATGCCTGTGTTAGATATTTATAACATTGGAGAATGCAACAAGCACATGTCTGGCCCCGACAAACCAGGGGCGACAATCGATCTGAACTCAGGATCATCCTGTCCAGATTCCAACCAATGAGAGCGAATCTGTGATCTGAACCCAAGAGTGAAGAAGGTCAAATATTCCCATGGCTATGGTGCTTACAAACCACTGAACGAGTTTGACCTCAACACAGATTTATCCTGAAATGTTCCCACACCAACATCGTCAGCTGTTTACCTGTGAGGTGTAGTGAAAAAGGGTTATAGCATTCTCACCGAATGACTGACCAGTCCAACAATGTCATAAAGAGCCCACAGAATATACGACATGTTGCTGACTTGGTAACATACTGCAGGTGCTGGGATTATTTAGGCTTGACATTTCTCAAGCGTTGGGTAGTAAGGATTTGTCGTGTAGTACTGCCTGGGGTGTTCAGCATCTCCGGTACAGGTACAGATAGGCCAGGTCTTTAGGGGGATTTTCCGACTGTGCCACCTTCTCGTCGTTATAGATCACCCACTTCCCATCCTTGAGAATGTGACAGACGTAGTGGCCCACGTTGGTAGATGTGCCCATGTGACTGATGAAAGCCACAAGTTGATATTCTGTGAGAAAGAACAGAGCAGGAACAATTAGGTTTGTGTGTCATTTAACCCTGCACTCAGCAACTATCGAGCTACAGGACAGATGCCTGTAACTGCATGAGTCTGGACAAGACAAACCAGATAGTGATACAATGGGTGAGGCGAGGTGAGGTGAAATTGGGTTTAACGTCGCGTCCAAGATTATTGCACTTATATAGCGACGTGCATGCACGTGTGTGTGTGTGTGTGGCTGCTTGTACTAGTCCAGACTTATGCCGATTTATAGTGCTAGCCCACTGAGATACCATGCCGCAGTTTAACATGAATACCCCACTCAGACAAAGTATACTGACTCCGAGCTGACCAGTCCTTGTTTTAGCCCCTATTTGCCGAGGGCCAGACAGGGTAACAACAAGTACCATCTTTTAACGTCTTTCGGTATGACACGGCCGGGGATCGAACCCCGGACCTTCCGCTCTCCGGGCGGACGCTCTACCTCTAGACCACGGAGGCAGTCTATTGATACAATGAGCAATGATCCACAATGCTTGGGTACGTTGGCACTTTCAACATTTGGAGATCAAATTTAAACCAGATGTTTCCACAGTCTTAAAGCAAGCATGAGGCAATACTGTGTCAAGACTGATTATATACTACTCAAAAGAAGTTAAGGACCACCTGGATTGTTTCATATTAATAAAGTTTATCCGTCATGGCATCGTACCCCTAATAACAAGGGGAAGTGTCAGACAACATTAACTATAAAGTGTTATATGGCAGTTTAAATTGTTAATCAACAATTGTACCTGTATTATACTGGTTCTGTTGAGATTCAGTAGAAGTTCATTGCATTGTATTTGGACAATGATTAGTTGTCAGGAATGTACGTAGTACTATTTCATGTAAGCAGTGGTGAGGCAGATATCATATTTAGATGTCCAAATTATCTGTAAAGTTCCGGAATAGCATGGATACATGTAAAGCGTTATAGCAACATGTGGACAATTCTGTGCTGTTCTAGTGACACTGGACTGGTCTGGCACTGAGTGGAAAGTGCTGGAAGCTAGTTAGACTATGTAAGAGAAATGGGCGCGTGCCTGTCATCTCACACTTCATCTGACATTTCATCTGACAATACATCGAGACCAGATTTCGTGGGAAGATTACTTTTCACCACGGAGTCCCAGCCTATCTCGGAAGCTTGACCAATGTTGTGGATAGGTGAATATTATTATCACTGAACTTTTGGCTATCACCACTGCCATCATATTTTGTATTTGATACAGCCATTGGATATTGTACTTCCACTCTATTGCATAAGCCATTGTAATTGCTGTGCAGTAATTTGTATTGATTTGTAAACCTAGTTAATTGTGTAATACAGTTGTTGATTGTATACCATTTGTTCTTTTAGGTACAGATTTCTGGGTTAACATACAATTTCAAATTGGGAATCGACACATAACACTCGACACTTACTTCCTGACCCGTCACGGAACTTGGGTGTTGCCGGGGCAGCGGCCTGGGCCTGATCTGTTTCCATTGGCTGATCCAGCTCATCAGCGTGGCTAAATATCCAGTCAGCTGCTCTCTCTACATTGTTGTTCTGAAGAAGACAGATAACACTACTGGATCCAAACATGCATGTGTGGACAAAACAAAGGACCTCTTGGATGTTTAAGAAGATAGATTTTTCCATGACTTCTTGCAGTAAATTAATATAAAACAAAATGGAAAAGAACTACAGGCAGTGTTTTGTTTCAGAATGGGAGACTTAAGGTTTGGCAGAGGTAAGAATCCCCTGGGACTGACAATTAATGTTGTGTTCTGCACAACTTAGCTTTGATACATGTGGTCTGTCCATTAGGGCAGACCAGTTGGTTGGTTTGTTGTTTAACGCCGCACTCAGCTATATTCCAGCTATATGACGGCGGTTTGTAAATAATCAAGTCTGGACCAGACAATCCAGTGAGTGACATCATGAGCATCCATACCATGACATGCATCAACAAATTAAAAAAAATGAGTCAGAAGGAATACGTGCACAGTCTGAAAGAAATGCGAACATTTGGGACCTGTAGTGTAACCATGGCGATTTACGGTTATTGTCATAAAACAATATATAATGTGACTACCATGGGTCCGGTAGTCCTGTGGGTCCTCGGATCCTACTCAGGACCCACCCGACCCGAGTACCAGAGTTACCCTGTTCCAGCCCTACAAGGGAGCCTAGGTCCTACTCAGGACCCACCCGAGTACCAGAGTTACCCTGTTCCAGCCCTACAAGGGAGCCAAGGTCCTACTCAGGACCCACCCGACCCGAGTCACCCATCCAAGCCCTATTGAACACGGTTAAAGTCGTACACGTTCACCTACCGTGGCCTTGAGGGCCTTGACTGCCTGGTCCCTGGTGAAGCCCATCGACATGATCATGACCAGCGACTCCTCGTTCGGGGTGAACTGTCCGCCTCCCGCCGCCGCTGAGTTTGGCAACACAAGAGGGGCTGCAAAGTCTGGAACAAAGGAACAATAGTCTTTGTTGAGGAATATTTTGTGGAATACTCATGTCAACATCAATATAACAGGAATCAATCATCTGTCTTTACCTCTCTCTATATCAAACTGACTGGTACAAGAATTCATAGGTTTTATTCTTAAATTTGTCCAGTATAATATATAGGCTAGCAACTAGCCCAGTCTGACTATATGTCCTGGCAACTAGCCCAGTCTGACTATATGTCCTGGCAACTAGCCCAGTCTGACTATACGTCCTGGCAACTAGCCCGGTCTGACTATATGTCCTGGCAACTAGCCCGGTCTGACTGTGTGTCTTGGCAACTAGCCCGGTGTGACTATGTCCTGGATACTGGCTTTGTCCGACTATACTTACTACTAGCCCGGTCTGACTATGTTACAATCTCATTAAAATCAGATCTTAGTTCTCGATACCGCTAAACAAAGATCTGAGGACATCCCATTACGGGTCATGTCAGACCAAGCTTGCGCGAACTTTGACAGACCAATGGAATGACCAATCAGAAGGCAGCCTTCTCGTGCTTTACGGCACTAATTTCAAATGGGCGACTACACTTCGAAACATATTTTGACAAATTCTCGATTACAAATTTGAAACCTGAACAAAAGAACATTCTGGAATGGCTAATAGATGTCTTGATTGTATGGATTCAGTCAAACCTGTAACTATCGTTCGGAGTTAAGTTTTCGAGGCTGCATATGATTAGAAATCACATTCCGACTGTCACTTTCATGATCTGGTAAGCGATGCTCTGATTGGTCAAATGAAAGGTCGTTCTGATGTGATCCCCAATGGGATGTCCTCAGATCTTTGTTTAGCGATAGCGAGAACCGAGGTCTGATTTTAATGACTATGTTCTGGCAACTAGGCCGGTCTGACTATGTTCTGGATACCAGCTTCGTCCAACTATACTTACTACAAGACCGGTCTGACTATGTTCTGGCAACTAGCCCAGTCTGACTGTGTTCTGGCAACTAGGCCGGTCTGACTATGTTCTGGATACCAGCTTCGTCCAACTATACTTACTACAAGACCGGTCTGACTGTGTTCTGGCAACTAGCCCAGTCTGACTGTGTTCTGGCAACTAGGCCAGTCTGACTATGTTCTGGCAACTAGCCCGGTCTGACTGTTCTTGCAACTAGCCCGGCCTGACTGTGTTCTGGCAACTAGGCAGGTCTGACTGTTCTTGCAACTAGGCCGGTCTGACTATGTTCTGGCAACTAGCCCAGTCTGACCATGTCCTGGATACTAGCCTTGTCCGACTATACTTACTACTAGCCCGGTCTGACTGTGTTCTGGCAACTAGGCCAGTCTGACTGTGTTCTGGCAACTAGCCCGGTCTGACCATGTCCTGGATACTAGCCTTGTCCGACTATACTTACTACTAGCCCGGTCTGACTGTGTTCTGGCAACTAGGCCGGTCTGACTGTGTTCTGGCAACTAGCCCGGTCTGACCATGTCCTGGATACTAGCCTTGTCCGACTATACTTACTACTAGCCCGGTCTGACTGTGTTCTGGCAACTAGCCCGGTCTGACTGTGTTCTGGCAACTAGCCCGGTCGGACTGTGTTCTGGCAACTAGCCCGGTCTGACTGTGTTCTGGCAACTAGGCCGGTCTGACCATGTCCTGGATACTAGCCTTGTCCGACTATACTTACTACTAGCCCGGTCTGACTGTGTTCTGGCAACTAGCCCGGTCTGACTGTGTTCTGGCAACTAGACCGGTCTGACTGTGTTCTGGCAACTAGCCCGGTCTGACCATGTCCTGGATACTAGCCTTGTCCGACTATACTTACTACTAGCCCGGTCTGACTGTGTTCTGGCAACTAGACCGGTCTGACTGTGTTCTGGCAACTAGCCCGGTCTGACCATGTCCTGGATACTAGCCCGGTCTGACCATGTCCTGGATACTAGCCTTGTCCGACTATACTTACTACTAGCCCGGTCTGACTGTGTTCTGGCAACTAGACCGGTCTGACTGTGTTCTGGCAACTAGCCCGGTCTGACCATGTCCTGGATACTAGCCCGGTCTGACCATGTCCTGGATACTAGCCTTGTCCGACTATACTTACTACTAGCCCGGTCTGACTGTGTTCTGGCAACTAGGCCGGTCTGACTGTGTTCTGGCAACTAGCCCGGTCTGACCATGTCCTGGCAACTAGCCCGGTCTGACTGTGTTCTGGCAACTAGCCCGGTCTGACTGTGTTCTGGCAACTAGCCCGGTCTGACCATGTCCTGGCAACTAGCCCGGTCTGACTGTGTTCTGGCAACTAGCCCGGTCTGACCATGTCCTGGATACTAGCCTTGTCCGACTATACTTACTACTAGCCCGGTCTGACTGTGTTCTGGCAACTAGGCCGGTCTGACTGTGTTCTGGCAACTAGCCCGGTCTGACCATGTCCTGGATACTAGCCTTGTCCGACTATACTTACTACTAGCCCGGTCTGACTGTGTTCTGGCAACTAGCCCGGTCTGACTGTGTTCTGGCAACTAGCCCGGTCTGACCATGTCCTGGATACTAGCCTTGTCCGACTATACTTACTACTAGCCCGGTCTGACTGTGTTCTGGCAACTAGCCCGGTCTGACTGTGTTCTGGCAACTAGCCCGGTCTGACTGTGTTCTGGCAACTAGCCCCGTCTGACCATGTCCTGGATACTAGCCTTGTCCGACTATACTTACTACTAGCCCGGTCTGACTGTGTTCTGGCAACTAGCCCGGTCTGACTGTGTTCTGGCAACTAGCCCGGTCTGACCATGTCCTGGATACTAGCCTTGTCCGACTATACTTACTACTAGCCCGGTCTGACTGTGTTCTGGCAACTAGCCCGGTCTGACTGTGTTCTGGCAACTAGCCCGGTCTGACCATGTCCTGGATACTAGCCTTGTCCGACTATACTTACTACTAGCCCGGTCTGACTGTGTTCTGGCAACTAGCCCGGTCTGACTGTGTTCTGGCAACTAGCCCGGTCTGACTGTGTTCTGGCAACTAGCCCGGTCTGACTGTGTTCTGGCAACTAGCCCGGTCTGACTGTGTTCTGGCAACTAGCCCGGTCTGACTGTGTTCTGGCAACTAGCCCGGTCTGACTGTGTTCTGGCAACTAGGACAGTCTGACTATACTAAATACTAGCTTAATGACCTACCTGCGTCCCCCATGTGTTCCATCACCCAGTTCATGGCTGCCTCCACCCCCGTGTTCTTGGTGTTGTACACCGCCTTCCGACACCCATTGGGGTCAAAGCCCATCTCCATCAGCTGGCCCACAGTGGCTTCATCTATCTCTATTGCTGGAAGGAAGGAGGGACTGACATGTAGACAGACAAATATATTGATTGAAGGAGGAAAAAAATAAATGAGTTGGTTGGTTTGTTGATAAACGCCACACTCAGCAATATTCCAGCTATATGACGGAGGTCTGTAAATAATCCAGTCTGGACCAGACAATCCAGTAATTGATATCATGAGCATCGATCCACGCAATTGGGATCGATGACATGCTTTAACCAACTCCGCGAGCCTGACCACCCGATCCCGTTAGTCTCCTCTTACGACAAGCACGGTTGCTGAAGACCTATTCCACCCGGGATCTTCACGGGTGGTATAAATGAGATAGTTATTGGTAACATAATTGTCTTGAAGAGGCCAAACAGATTTCATGCTGTTTTTCTGTTTTTCACAAATAGCTTGGTTATGTGGAATTGAAAGATACCCAGCATGCGTCATTTATTGTCCGATGTATTTTCAGACAATTGCCATGTTCACATGTTTCCTTCTCTCCTTGCTGGACGAAATACACATGACAGGAAAAGTATGTACATATGCAATGAACATTTTGTTCTTAAATAAATATATACATACTGAGGAAAACAAATAAGGGAACACCATTTTATCGCAGTGTCTCTTTATTTATTCCCAGATTTTTACCCACAGTGACATCCCTAGCTTGGGAATAAAACCTGGGAAATAATAAAGGAGCACTTGTATTTTCTGATTCAAGTGTTCCCTTATTTGTTTCCCTCATTATATTTAAAAAATTTAGTAAAATCTAAATATTTTTTACATTTGTATACTTATCCTGCATTACTCCGTATTGCATTTACTGCTATGTTTGACAGAGAGACGAACTGTGTGAGATCCAGCTGCTGAAGAAAGTTGTCCCAACCAGCCCAGGAGGCAGCGCCCTCTCACAGTCGGCACGTGACCCGGAAGTCATGACGTCACACAAAAAGACATAACTGCTTTAAACATAACATCTGAAACTTCGTGGGGAGGTAGCGTAGCGAAAGGGAGGGCACTTAGACTTCGTAATGCAGGATAAGTATACAAATGTAAAAAATATTTAGATTTTACTAAATTTTTTAACTTATCCTGCATTACTCCGTATTGCATCTTTATCAGACGGCTTGGCCGGTGGGCATACTTGCAGGTGTGAACCATATTAAACCCTCGTCAAGGTCCGATGAATCCGCACCGCATACAAGTGATGACCGGAACATCTACGACCATTCCTGTCTTCAGGAAACAAGAGTCGATGCAAAAACGAAACGCCCGAATAGGTAACCGAAATACAATGAGGCGTGTAGCCAAAATATATAACTTACCGAAGAGCGAAAGCGAAACGCAGTAGAACCTAGAGCTAATCTGAGGTGATAAACACCAGAGAGTTCGACGGGCCCCGCTCGGGGAATCGAAGAATCAGCGGCGTCGGCGGCAAAATCTACGACCAATCCCAAGAGCGAATGCGAAACGCAGGAGAGCCCTCTAGGCTGGAGGCAAGGAACACCGGTGAGGTCGACGGGCACCGCCCAGGTACCAGAGAAGCAGCGGCGTTGGCGTCGGCGCCGGTGTCCACATCTACTACCATTCCTGTCGTCAGGAAACGAGAGTTGATGCAAAAAGTAAAACCCGGATAGGTGACAGCAATAGAATGAGTCGGGTAACCCAAAACTAAAACTGACCTAAGAGCGAATGCGGAACGCAAGAGAGCCGTCTCGTCTGGGGTGATAAACACCAGAGAGGTCGACGGGCCCCGCTCAGGGTATCGGAGAATCAGTGGCGTCGGAGATAGATGACCTGTTGGGCTACAACCAGGGACCAAAACTGTGAACGCCGGCGACAACTTTCAAGGCTACATCACGGAAGTAGTGGTTGGTGAAGGCGGTGTCCGATCGCCACGAACAGGCTTCCCTGAACGACGGGATGGAACAGTATACCGTGAAGAACCAGTGTAAATACGATCGCCCTGATCTCATTTTATTTCAGGTAATAGCCTTTGGGGGGAGGGTCCAATCCGGCGGCTCATACGCTTTAAGGATGACCGCCCGGAGCCACAGGGAAAAGTATTCCGGCTGACCAACGACAGCGACGAAGGGGAGACCGGCAGAAAAAGGTGTTTCCTAGACTTGCGGCAGTCTTTAGATCGTAGAATAACCTTCAGTGCCCTTACTGGGCATAATGACGCTCATCCTCATCCTCGGCACCCGCACTGGACGAGGGGGGAGGGGACAAGGAATGATCTATCAGGCTGTCCTGGGAGTTGAGTCTTTACGCTGACGTCCCAGTACGGTCCATGATGAACGGCGCCCTGGGTACCGCATTCGAACCGGGCATGGGAGACGTCGAGGGCGTGCTGTACATGGACTCGAGCGGCAGTAGTCAAAACCAGTAGAAACACCCGTCTTCTACTTAAGGTCGTAGAAGGAAGACGAGGGGAGTGGTTCGAAGGGCGTTGAAGACCACATTCAGATCCAACGCAGGCGGTCCAAACTTGGTCTTCAGGTCTTCAAGACTGAACGAGCGCAGCCAGGCCCGTAGGTCGGGAATTTTCGTCTTTCTCCGATCGTCCGGGATGGCCAGAACGGAGTAGATGGCGACCAGGTATGTGGGGGTGGTAAGCCCTTCAACCGATGGGTGCTACACAAGTACAGAAGGAACTGATCCAGGATCTGCGGTGACGCTGTCATCGGATCCTGGTGTTTGTCAGAACAAAATGCCTGGAACAAGCATCATTTATCAGCATACAGTAGTCCCCCTGTAGATGGACGGTGGGCTGAAGCAATAGCCTTGGTCGCTCTAGCCGAATAGCCCTTGGCTTTCTGCATGTGTGTCAGGCGTGCAGACGATAACATGCGGGTATGAGGGTGTGGCTTCTCATTCTAACAGACCGTGTGGATGGAGCAGAAGGTTGGACCACACCGGAAGTTCCAGGGGTTGTCTCTGGCTATGTTTCGGAGGTCGATAACCCAACTTCTGGCTGACCAATAAGGCGAGACCAAAGTCAATGGCAGGGGTCGAGTGGCCTGGATCTCTGAAGAACCGTGGGAGGGAGAACCGGAGTCGGAAAAGCGTACGCGCGTAATCCTTCTCAGGAACGATGGAAGGCTTCGACTGCCACAGCGGTCGTATCCGGCACAGGTGGAATGGAAGACGACAGCTGGCCACATTCAGATATGAGGCAAACAGATCTAGGGTTGGGGTGTCGACCGTTTCACATAGTCTGGCCCGAGGCGCCGGAGAGCGTGAGGCGTCGGAGAGCTTGAGGCGCCTGGAACGCCGAAGAAGGTGATTCTCGGGTGCGCCGGTCGAGTTTGTGGCGCCGGGAGAGGGGCGAGAACTCTGGGTCCGCAAACACCACACTACGGTGACGTCGTCAGTGGACACGATCAACAGGGCGTGACCGAGAATGCACTGTCAGCAAGTGCCGTCCTGGATAAGCATTTATCTCGAGGCTGTTGCTGTGCCAATGGTGTTGATCTCTGGATCACAGGTGGTCACAATGTGGGCTGGCGTGGGCCACTAGCCACTGACAAGGTGGCAGGGGAGGTAGTCAGCAACAGGGGTCTGCGATTGCGTACCGTCGGTACGATTCGGAAAAAGGTGTGATCGCCTGCGAGCCAACCTCAAGTAGACGAAGTAAACCAGCTTCACAATCGACCGCCGGGGCATCGACGTAACCGGGTAGTAGGAAGTCGAGGCAATATGGCCATTGCACGAAGTAATGAGATCGTTTTCATCCCTGAAGCGGCGTATAAGTACTCCTGTTCTTATATCGAGGTGACGATGGAGGACGACAACACGATACGAGGCAGGTATGCAACAGGGGTCAGTGGGACGGCCGAGGGACTTTAAGTATCAAATCGACACTGTGTCCGGTAGTCAAGGCGGAAGATAGGAAGGTGTCGTAGTCGAAAAGATCAAACCGGACGAAGGAAGGCGATCTCTTCCATCCCTTGAACGCCTATAGGCGCTATCGTTCTTATAGCGAAGGGTTGATGAAACAAGGTTCCTCGTGACAGCCGTGTTGGTAGAGGAGGTCTATTGTTTCCAACATCCGTGCATGGATGGACTGCGACAGGCGCCTGGTTGAGTGGTATCACCAAGCGTACAGGTAGACATGGAAACCAATCTGTAGAAATACATGGCACCCCTTGCCATGGTAAGTTGACCTAAATCCGGTCGGAGTTGTTGACAGTCCGAGTACTTGACACGTGACATGTAAATCACTCTGCGCAGTAGCCGAGAAAACCGCCTTGGAGTCGGAACTGAGGTGCAAACTCCACACACAGACAATCCTCAATGAACTGTGTGAGAGACGATCAAGTGGTGTACCCGAGTTTTGCGATAAAACACGGAACCCCATGGGCGTCGTGCAAAACCCGGGGAGCGCCGAGGAAGAGTCTCTCTCAGGAACGCTGGCGCTAGGGTAGGGTAGAACAGCGTTGATGTCTGCGATGTCGACGAAGTAAACTCTTTGTAAGTGGATGTCGTCGTCGAATCTGATACAGACGCTGTTCACATGACGCTCTGTTTCGATGGAAACCCGCAGGTCATCTCTCCGGAATCATAGCGCTTTAAACGACGGGATTATGGATAACGTCTCAGTGGGCAAGTTGAATCAGACCAACTGTCTATTGGTTGAAATGATTCCACCCAGGAAGTAGAACGATATTTACGATCCCGAAGACCGACGGGAGAGTAGCGAAAGGAGCGGCGACAGTTGTTTCACCATGCTTCTCCGTGTGACGAGTTATGAGACGGCAGCAAGAGAAGAGGGCAGTGGCGCCGGGGAGGCGATTGCCGATGATGCCCCTTAAGCCGCAGTAGAAGATCGGATGGTCGGCTCGTTGATCTGAGCTTGATAAAGCTTGTTGATCTGAAGCTTGTTGAGCGCCGAAGACATCAGAGGATGCGGAGGCGCCGGAGCGCGGAGACATCAGCGGCGCCGGTGGCGCCGAGTCATCGGAGGCGCCGAGTCAACAGCTTGTCATGAACAAGTCATGAAGCTTGTTGAGCGCCGAGACATCAGCGGCGCCGAGTCATCAGAGGCGCCGCTGGCGCCGAGTCATCAGCTTGTCATGAACAAGTCATGAAGCTTGTTGAGCGCCGAGTCATCAGAGGCGCCGGTAGCGCCGAGTCATCAGAGGCGCCGTGTCATCAGAGGCGCCGGAGGCGCCGGGAGCGCCGAGACATCGGAGGCGCCGGGAGCGCCGTGGGCGCCGTGTCATCAGAGGCGCCGGAGGCGCCGCGTCATCAGAGGCGCCGTGTCATCGGAGGCGCCGGGAGCGCCGTGTCATCAGAGGCGCCGCGTCATCAGAGGCGCCGGGAGCGCCGTGGGCGCCGTGTCATCAGAGGCGCCGGGTCATCGGAGGCGCCGGGAGCGCCGTGTCATCAGAGGCGCCGGAGGCGCCGCGTCATCAGAGGCGCCGAGGCGCCGGAGGCGCCGGGGGCGCCGGGGGCGCCGGAGACATCAGCGTTGACGGTGTTGGAGACCGTGAACGGTCGTATGTCGTGCCAGGGGAGGCAGACTCTACGTTGGGAGCGCTGGAGCCGCCGGTGGAGTAGGAGACTGTGAACGGTCGTATGTCGTGCCAGGGGAGGCAGACTCTACGTTGGGAGCGCTGGAGCCGCCGGTGGAGTAGGAGACCGTGAACGGTCGTATGTCGTGCCATGGGAGGCAGACTCTACGTTGGGAGCCGCCGTGAAGCTCCGCTGAGCGCTGCTGCCGTCAACGTAGGTGGGGGTCGACGAGCACGTTGAGCGAGGTGTGTCCTGGATACTCGCATGAGCTGAAGGATCACAGCTACGAATGACTGCAACATCGGCACTGCCTTGTGAAAGTACAGGGCGTCGTACAATCACGGCAGAAAGGGGCGGCCCCGACCAGATTTGTTCCCGCGGAAACAAGTGCAGCGAGGCAGAAAATCTGGAATTTAAGCAAAACATAACTATGTGGCAAAGCCACAAAGTGCGGGAAGCATAATGTGTGGCCAATCACAAAGTATGGGAAGCATAAAGTAACTCAAAAACAGTATATTTTATTAAAGTTTATGAGATAAACAAGTACGCTAAAAGGGAGCGAAAAGGCAAAGCCTTAAGCAAACACGTAACCATGTGGCAAAACCACAGAGTACGGGAGACATAATGTAACTCACAAACTTCGTATTATATTGAAGTTTATGAGAAGAAACAATTACGCTGAGAGGTAGCGAAAAGGCAAGGCTTTAAGCACACCAAAACAACATACATAAATGAAATGTTTTACCCAAGCCAAAGAGAGAATTCAAAACGCAGAACACGACATTACGTGGCCACGTGGTGAATGGCCAAAATGGCGGGAAAGAAAACAAAATGGCGGGAACAACATTGCGCCCGTAAATTACTGTGACGTGAGCCACAGACGAGCGATAAACGTTACAATTTACGAATGGGAAGACCCTAAGGTCACGGCCCATATCAGGTAACAATGTAGCAGCATATAATGAATGTAGAAACACGCAAAATATAAAAAACAAATAATAAGCTTTAATTTCCACAAGGGATACAAAGTACGTCCGTCCGTGGAGGTGACAAAGCAGTTATGTCTTTTTGTGTGACGTCATGACTTCCGGGTCACGTGCCGACTGTGAGAGGGCGCTGCCTCCTGGGCTGGTTGGGACAACTTTCTTCAGCAGCTGGATCTCACACAGTTCGTCTCTCTGTCAAACATAGCAGTAAATGCAATACGGAGTAATGCAGGATAAGTTAAAAAATATAAAGTTTACCTGGTTGTGGTGCTTGTTCCTGAGGTAACTCTTCTTCCCCTGCCCTGAGACCTTCACCTCTCAAGGCAGAAATGTCAAGGTCATCTGGCATACCCAAAGACACATCTGTGGAGACAGAGGCAAAGAGTGGAACTTTCAAGTCATTCAAGATTTATCTTTAATAGCATAACTGTCTGTGAATGTTTTTTCACTCCAGTCAGCGATTTGATCACTTAAATCCTATAATCTCGGTATCTAGGTCAATAAATATGCAAATGAGGTCACCTAGCAGGAACTACTTTCAGGCTCCATACATCCAGGTGATGTCTTCTTTCTCAGTAACCTACTGAATAACATTCCCAATATGCTGAGATAGGCGTTTCTGAATGTGTTGCTGAAACACAGCAACTAACATGGCTGCTAGTCATCTGGCACTATAGGAGTGAGTATTGTTTTACACCATTTTTAAGCAATATTCCAGCAATGTTGCTGCGGGGGACACTAGAAATGGGCTTCACACATTATACCAATGTCGGGAATCGAACTCGGGTCTTCGGTGTGACGAGCAAACACTTTAACCACTAGACTACCCCACTGCTTGTACCGTTAATCCGACATTGTTGGTTGCATATAATTATGTCGGATTAACGAGTATGTCAGATAAACAAAATTAGGTAGTATCAACAAAACTACTGTTACGGACTGTATGACTGATTCAAAATACTTTTTTAAGCATAGTCTAGAATGGAAGTCGCTAATTTGAAACTAGTGCCTCAATGCTTAAGAAAGCTGCTTTCTTAGTGGCTAATGTCGACAGATGATACAGAGATTATAACCTTTATGTGTTTCTGTACCCTATACTAAGAATGTAAAATATGTATTCCTAAGATATGACATACGATAAGGAAACACAATTGGCTAATAAGCTCTATTTAATCTGGCCTGGATCCTCTTGGATCACTGAAACGTCAAAGTTGTTCCAACAATACAATGTCTTACCTAGCTTTTTAGGGACCCAATCTTCACCTATGGTAAATTTCTTCATCTGTACAAATAAATAATCTGGGAATGTCCGTAACCGAGTTGTTCTGAAACAAACAAACAGATCATTACAACCTAATTTTGTCTGAACGAGTGGATATCGTTAAGTGAGTGAGTGAGTATGGTTTTACGCAGCTTTTAGCAATATTCCAGCAATATCACGGCGGGGGACACCAGAAATGGGCTTCACACATTGTACCCATGTCGGGAATCGAACCCGGGTCTTCGGCGTGACGAGCGAACGCTTTAACCACTAGGCTACCCGACCACCCGGATATCGTTAAGAGACGCATCAGCCATGTCGCAGATATGTGCAGCTAGATACATGAAGGGCTGGTTCTATATAGATTAAAAAAGAGACATGAACCAATTGTTTCCTTCATGCTGCTGCAGTGTCTTTCCATGCAGTGTCCGAAATACCGTATTCGACGTAATAAGCGCCCCACTCTAATAAGCGCCCACGGCGACATTTCTAATATGCTGGCTTGTGAACAATCCCAATTAGCACCCCTTCCGATTGATCAATGTACACAAGACTTATTTATTTGCGTATAATATGCACTCATGTGTAATATGCACACTTAATTATGGGCAATTAAATTCATATTTATATAAACACTTTAGGCTGTCAGCATAAACCACGAAATTTATCTTTCAACTCTGTTCTTTTTCACCAAAATAATATTCTAATAAGAGCCCCCTATTTCTAATATTGAGAGCACCCTGGACGCTTATTTCGTCGAATACGGTAACTGCTTGCCCTCCTTGCCATGGCTGGTAACTTTTCTGTCAGGCTGCATGAAATTTTCGCCTCTCGACTCTCTGGCAGATAATTTTAGGCCAATTTACGTATTCAGTTGATTCTTGTTGATTCTCAAGTAATTATTCAATTTATTTCAATATAATCAAGATGCGATTTGTTTCTTATTTTTCACAATTTTGCAATGCTTAAACTTGCATTGCATATTTGTAACAACCACTTTTTCTCAAAGGAAAATTTAAACCCTAGGCTCAACAATTAACTGTGCTTGAATTTTGATGGACAACAACCCATTGGCATGTTTCAGGGAATGGCATAGCATTGGGGAGATCTTGCTTGTTATGTGTATAATATTCTTGTGTAATTTTCATCCCAACACTTACTTGTGAGCTTGAGTCTTTGCCTTCAAGGCAGAGCTGTAGAAATCATCTATGACTTCCACTGCTGAGAATGCTTCTAGACATGCAGACAGTGAGATACGTGGCCGGACTATTGACTTGGGATCTCTGAAACATTATGAAATTATCGGCAAATAATGTGACGTCAGATGAACTCATATTTGGGACACGACAGGGTGTCTCGTGCATCAAACTGTCGAAGAAGTCACCTCACAGTCCTGAAGAATCCCTCGTCATTGAATTGTTTATCTGCATAAATTCACAGTTATTTGGTTTAATATTGAGCAGGAACGTTTGCAGAATTCGTGTTTTAGTTGTGCCACACAACTAACGTGCACAACTGCATTGTGAGTGAGTGAGTGAGTGAGTATGGTTTTACGCCGCTTTTAGCAATATTTCAGCAATATCACGGCGGGGGACACCAGAAATGGGCTTCACACATTGTACCCATGTCGGGAATCGAAACCGGGTCTTGGGCGTGACGATCGAACGCTCTAACCACTAGGGTACCCGATCTCCCCCAACTGCATTGTGAGAAACACCCCGTGAGAACAGTCCATGGTACTGATACTGGCAACAGTGTTGGGAGGATGGATGGATGGATGGATGGGTGGGTGGGTGAGTGAGTGAGTGAGTGAGTGAGTGAGTGAGTGAGTGGGTGGGTGGGTGGGTGGGTGAGTGAGTGAGTGAGTGAGTGAGTGAGTGAGTGAGTGAGTGAGTGAGTGAGTGAGTGAGTGAGTGAGTGAGTGAGTGAGTGAGTGAGTGAGTGAGTATGGTTTTACGCGGCTTTTAGCAATATTCAAGCAATATCACACCAGGGGCTTCACACATTGTACCCATGTCGGGAGTAAATATATAGAGGTGTTTAGTTAAATATCAATGTTCACCAATGTTCATCAACAGACAGCACTGCAGGACAGGTTGGTGTCGTGTTCAGGAGAAGTACTCACATTGTTTCTTTCTTCTCTTCTAATTCCTTCTTTCTGGCTTCATAAGCTGCCACTTCCTCTGTGAAGGTAAATATGAGGATTGATTGGTAAATTCTGAGTGTCACATTAAAGGAATTGTGTAAGACTAAAAAAAAAAATGAATTGGTTCACAGGCAATGGCTCTTAAAAATATAGTTATGCAAATGTGTGAACAGCTGATTGCTATTCCTAGCTTATTTTACGAGACAAATACATTTGTAATCTTAACCTCTGCGTATGGAACATTGTCCGGCATACAGTACATCAATTTCATTAAAATCAGATCTGAGTTCTCGCTATCGCTAAACAAAGATCTGAGGACATCCCATTACGGGTCACGTCAGAACGACCTTTCATCCGACAAATCAAAGCGTCGCTTACCAGATCATGAGAGTGACAGTCGGAATGTTTTTTCTAATCATGCAAACGTTAACACGGGGTATTCCCAATGACTGATTACGTCATAATTATCGGCTATCTCTCACTTCCGTGGGATAAACATTTGAACGGAGGAGGCGTTGCACAGTACGAGGGAAGAACTGCCATACAATCTCAACTATATATTAGATATTCCAGAATGTTCGTTTGTTCAGTTTTCAAAATTTTAATGTCGAGAATTATGTCAACATATTATTATAGTCTCAAATGGAAGTCGCTAAGTTGTAAAGAGTGCCGCAAAGCTCGAGAAAGCTGCTTTCTAATTGGCTGATGCCGACTTCTTGTTAGTCATTTCAGTGGACAGTCAAAGTTCGCGAAAGGTCGTTCTGACATGACCCGCAATGGGATGTCCTGAGATCTTTGTTTTGCCGCAGCCAGAACTTAGATCTGATTTTAATGAGATTGACAGTACACAAAAACCATTGAATTTTTCAAATCATCATGTCTAGTGATGTTTATCGCAAATTTCATGTTTTCATTGACTAATTTGTAAATGACAAAATAAGCACACAAACTCCTATTGCCGCCATGACCATCACACAATATGCACAGTAAAGCAGTGCGCATGTAAAGTGAAGTAAATACACGCTATAATGGATCACATTGTTTTTTAAGTATTGTTGCATTTCACTGCCGGAGTTGTGTGTTTGAGATGTGGAATATTTAAAGAATTTGTTTTTGAAAATTGAAATCAAAATCGAAAAGGTGAGGTGGACTTTATGATGATCGGGCAGTGCCTGAGAACCAAAACTATTATTTCCTTTCGCCTAATAGTGAAATCTGTTGTTGTGGACAATACAGTGAGTGAGTGAGTGAGTTGGGTTTAACGCCGCTTTTACCAGTATTCCAGTTATATCGTGGCGTGTCAGCTTAATGTGGGAGGAAAGCCCGAAGTGATGCAGGTCTCAGACGTTTACCACTTTGGTGAAACCCAAGAGCACGGGTATGGTGCTGACAAACCTAGAAACATAATCGGGCGAACCGGGATTCGAACCCACAATCATCGGTTTCTGGCGTGCCCAAGGGACGCAACTCTGCACAGTGAATCGCGGCGCCTTAGACTACTGGGCCACCCGTGCCCCCTGTGGACATTACATGTCATAGAGGTATTTCTACAACAACTTGAGTCACCTGAACAAACTGTTTCACTGTGACAAGTCGGTAAAGCAAGCAGGGTTCTGTATCTGTCTGCAAATGGACAAACGTGAAGACCATGCAGTGGAGTGACAAAGCCACCCAATCCCCAGCTTGGTGTGACGAACGTAAACCTCGGGATCTTACCTATATTGGTGGCAGCCTCCATGGGCACCGGTAACGCCAGACAGTAGTCCTCTCTCGTTGTGTACTTGACCTTCCCTGACCCCCCACACTTGACCTTGTCCTCAATTTCAAACCGGAAACATTCAGCTGGATTGACATGCCCTCTACTGTTACGCTGGAAGAAGAAAGGTCATGCCGTCACATTGTTTATGAGTGAGTGAGTGAGTGAGTGAGTGAGTATGGATTTACAACGCTTTAAGCAATATTCCAGCAAAATCAAGGCGGGGCAGTGTTCCTGCTTTTGAAACATCCAGTCCTTGTGGACTGATAACTCTAAAAATTACCAGTCCCCTCTAATTTTTGCCAGTCCCAACTTTCAACAAATAAAAAAACTATTTGGTTTTAATTCTTTGAGCATCATGTTCAGTGCAAAGATGTTATCTCTGAAGTAATTTAGTTAGATCTATACGTCATTCGCACAAACTTCAGTCAGAATTTTCTCTCTTTTTCTTAATATTTCGAGACAATGTCTCCACAAATGGATATTTAACCTAGAAATAGACAAGGGGAAACCCTGATGGTAACAGACAAGCTGACTTTGTTCGAAAAATGTACTTCACCGATGTTTTGTTCAACAACAAAGATTTATAAGGTACTATATTTGCCGTCCACAGGGACTGGCAGTCACATGAATTACCAGTCAAAGCCTAATTTTACCGGTAAAAAACTGGTAATTCCCGGTAAACAGGAACGCTGGGCGGGGACACCAGAAATGGGCTTCACACATTGTACCCATGTGGGGAATCGAAGCCAGGTCTTCAGCGGGATGAGTGAACACTTTAACCAATAGGCTACCCGACCGCCCCTATGATGTTATGAAGATTGATGAACAAACATCATTGGTGATTGCAAAGTAGCATCTACTAGAGAAGAATTCCCTTTGTTAAGATTGACAATGCAACTGTCAGATGATGATAAAATAAACATTATTGCAAATATAGTAGTGTGTGACTAATACAATTTCAATAGATGACATATAATAATTCTAAAATGAACTTGTTCTAACAATATCACAATGGCGAGACAATCCAGTGGTTGACTGACCCTGATCCTCTTCGAAATTAGTTGCCTCTTACAAGCTTATAAATAGTTGACCTATTCTAACATAGGTCCCCTGTGGTAAAGCCCTGCTGTCCCCTGACACCAAACGGGGTCCCCTGGAACTGAACGTGGTCCCCTGGTACTGAACGTGGTCCCCTGGTACAGAACGTGGTCCCCTGGTACTGAACGTGGTTCCCTGGTACTGAACGTGGTCCCCTGGTACTGAACGTGGTCCCCTGGTACAGAATGTGGTCCCCTGGTACTGAACGTGGTCCCCTGGTACAGAACGTGGTCTTCTGGTACAGAACGTGGTCCCCTGGTACAGAACGTGGTCCCCTGGTACTAAACGTGGTCTTCTGGTACAGAACGTGGTCCCCTGGTACAGAACATGGTCCCCTGGTACTGAACACGGTCCCCTGGTACATAGGGATGAGAATGGATACTTTCCTTTTCAGCTGAAACTTCTTTTCAATGGAGCCTGGTCCATAATTTGGGCGTGTTCATGGGGGGTCGCTAAATTTCATTTCATTCTCACCCGTTGACCATACGGATGTCGCCCCCGCTACTGAACATGGTCCCCAGGTATTATTTGTTTTGTTGTTTAACGTCACACTCAGCAATATTCCAGCTATATGACCGCGGTCTGAAAATAATCAAGTCTGGACAACCAGTGATTGATATCAAGAGCACTGATCCACGCAACTGGGATACGACGACATATATCAACCAAATCAGCAAGCCTGACCACCTGACCCTGTTAGTCGCCTCTTACGACAAGCATAGTCGCCTTTTACGGCATGCATGGGTTACCGAACGGTCTCCTGGTACTGAACCGGTCCCATGGTACTGGATGGTCACCTGGTACTGAACAGTCCCCTGGTACTGAACAGTCCCCTGGTACCGAACAGTCCCCTGGTACTGAACGGTCTCCTGGTACTGGATGGTCACCTGGTACTGAACAGTCTCCTGGTACTGAACGGTCCCCTGGTACTGAAAGGTCCCCTGGTACTGAACGGTCTCCTGGTACTGAACGGTCCCCTGGTACTGAAAGGTCCCCTGGTACTGAACGGTCCCCTGGTACTGAATGGTCCCCTGGTACTGAACGGTCCCCTGGTACTGACCTCGATGAATGTGAGGATATGAAGGAAGAACTCCTGTGCATCTTGTTGCCTCTTGGTGGAGAACTCTGGATGTCCTCGTCCAACCAACGTCTTAAACATCTGTGGCCGAATACCCGTTGGTGGCTGGGGGGGGAAAACAGAAAAATGAACTTTGATATAAACACAATTAACATGATGAAGACAGGACATTCTGTTTATTCTTTTACCATGTTGACATGGTAAATCGAACTATTAAACCAATTGTACTTTGTACAGTGCATCAGGGCATGCTGGCTAGGAACTAAGTGAATGAGAATGGTTTAAGGTGAGGTGAGGTGAAATGGGGTTTAACGTCGCGTTCAAGATTATTGCACTTATATAGCAACATGCATGCACGTGTGTGTGTTTGTGTGGCTGCTTGTACTAGTCCGGACTGATGCCGATTTATAGTGCTAGCTCACTGAGATACCATGCCGCAGTTTAACATAAATACCCCACTCAGACACAGTATACTGACTCCGAGCCGACCAGTCCTTGTTTTATCCCCTTAATGCCGAGCGCCAGACAGGGTAACAACAAGTACCATCTTCTAATGTCTTTTGGTATGACGCGGCCGGGGATTGAACCCCGGACCTTCCGCTCTCCGGGCGGACGCCCTACCATTAGACCACGGAGGCGGCCCGAGAATGGTTTACTGGTACTTATAGTAATCATGTGGGAACTCAAAACAGGGCATCTGACATGAGAATGACAAGTGAAAGCAGTCACCAGCCAGATTCCCTCTTATCCCTAAGAACAAGAACACTTGGAGAGGCGGTGAGGCGGTCAGGTGATAAATGTTGTTTGTTTGTTTGATGTTTATCGACATACTCCGCAACATTCCAGCTATATAATGGCGGTCTGCAAATAATCAAGTCTGGACCAGACAATCCAGTGATTGACATCATGACGGAGCTACAGATAAGCTTCGTATTTGCGTAAAATACACCTAAAAATGTTCAAAACCCAATTACTTTCAGTTACCTTGCGTACAGAAACACTTGCAGTAAATGAAAAACTCAAATGTATAAAAACACCATACGTAAATACTCAATGAAGCTTTTACAGTATGTGTACAAGGGAGTTAATTTCAGAAACTCAATTACGAGCTAATTTACTTTCCGAGTCAAGCCTATAGTTAGACCCGTTATATACATCTAAAACACTTTCATATTTTTTTATAAATCTAAAAATGTTCACTTATTTTGGGAAAAACCCAATAGAGTGATGAATAGGTGAGTGAAAAAATATTAGTTACCCTATGAGAAATGTAATATCCCAATTAAAATAGAAACCTTCGAGTAAAAACTCAATTGCTCAAAATGTTATCTGGAGCTCTGTCATGAGCATTGACCAATGCAATTGGGATACAATGACATGTATCAACCAAGTCGAGAGCCTGAGCACCTGATGCCCGTTAGTCGCCTCTTAGGGCAAGCATAGTCGCCTTTTACCGCAAGCATGGGTTGCTAAAGACCTATTCTACCCCGGATCTTCATGGATATCGGTGACATAGTGACATGCATACACATGTGTAAGTGTGGCTTCTTGTACTCGTCCAGACTTATGACACCTTGTAACAATTTAACAATAGATACCCCACTGACTGAGTGGGTTAGATCGCTGACTTTGTGTGCTGGCGATTAGGTGCCTCACTCTGGCAGTGTGGGTTCGATTCCCGGACGGGACTCAACCCAAAATGTACTGGAATCTGTACTTTACTCAGAAAGTGTTATCCCAAATATAACGTTTGTTACATTCATTCAATGTGATTCGACCGTTATGATGTGTCAACTCACGGGGACGAGCTGTGTACTGGATTCTCCATCTACTGGGGGCTTGGAATAGTCCCCTGACAACAGACCATGAGCTAACTTAGCCCTGCAAGTGGAGAGATGAACAACATTCAATCACTGAACACATGTATTGATGATCTTATTCATACCTACCTGTTATGCAGGAGGGTAGGTAGGTAGGTTTGTTGTTTAAAGCCGCACTCAGCAATATTCCAGCTATATGACGGCAGTCTGTAAATAATCGAGTCTGGACCAGACAATCCAGTGATTAATATCTTGAGCATCGATCCACGCAATTGGGATCGATGACATGCATCAACCAAGTCAGCGAGTCTGACTGCCCGATCCTGTTAGTCGCCTCTTACGACAAGCATAGTCGCCTTTTATGGCAAGCATGGGTTGCTGAAGACATATTCTACCCCGGATCTTCACGGGTCATGCAAGATGGGACAATCTCTTGTATTACTATATTAAAAAGATCAGTAGTTGGAAGACATCATAAATGGTGAGTGAGTTGAGTTTAACGCCGCTTTTAACAGTATTCCAGTTATATCACGGCGTGTCAGCTTGATGTGGCAGGAGAGCTCCAAGTGATGCAGGTCTCAGACATTTACCACTTCAGTGAAACACACAAGCACGGTGAGGTGCTGACAAACCTAGAAACATAATCGGGGCAAACCGGGATTTGAAGTCACGATCATACATTTCTGGCTTGCCAAGGGGCACAACTCTGCACAGCCTTGCACAGCAAATAGTGTTGCCTAGATGACTGGGCCACCTGTGCACCTCATTGGGGGTAGGTCTGTATTACAGTTATGTAAGAGTGAAGTCACTGGAAATGTTGCAGTACAAAACCAAGAAAAGTCTACCTACAAACTTTCATAGTGAAGCCAAGGAGGCTAAAGTCACGAAAGTCTCACCTTAACATCAGACGAAATATGCGTGATAGGTAAATGTAAGAGCCCTACTCAAGGGTGAGATGGGCTTCAACACACAAGGCGTGAAGTGTGAGCCAAGAGCGGTGAAGTCCATATATCGCCCGCAGTCGATGCACTTTACATGACAAAGTAAAACTGTGAACCAAGGTTTGTTCCCCTCAAATCTGAATCAAAACATCCAGCCTTGGGGCGATGCCGAAACAATGGACATAACACACCCTCGTGGTATAAAAAGAAACATGTACCTCTACTTAACATAATCTGTCATTCATAAACTGATGGTGAAAGGAGTGAGTGAGATTTACGAAATGACTTAACACAGATAAGATCATCCACAATTCGCCAACAACATTATTCTTTGATTGAATTCCTGGACTCGATCGTAGCGCCACCTGCGGCTATTACGAGTTATGTCCCTTCTATGCCTCTCCTATGGACCAATCATATTCCACCCCTCGTATCACTTGCATTTGCATCAAACAAAATGGCGGCGCCAAGTCAAGACGATCTGATCGATAATCAAGATCTATATGATGATAAACAAGTCTCACAATGCAAAGTGCATCAAATGATGTGAGCACCTTGATAAAAAACATGAAAAGATTTGGAAAATATCTTTTGACAACGAGTTGGGCTTTGCAAATCCTGCCATCGACTGAAATGTGTATGACAATTTACAAATCGGATTTTGATTTAGTTGCATGATTTGATTAGACCATGCATAAACTCGTTAGTCCAGCCAAATTGGAGCTCCATAATACCAGTGTAGTTCGGCAAGGGTGGAAACTGGACTTTTATAGTCAGTTAACTCCCTTGCCTCGGGAAGATGACAATGATCAGCACATCAGGGAATGTCTGTGCACAAACATTTGACCTTGTACCTCATCAACAAACACCCAGTACTTACATTTGAGCATTGAAGTCTCCAACAGGAATGGACGGTGCGGACTGGAATATGTCCTCCTCTTTTGCATAATATCTGAAACAGAGTGTCATGTGTCAAAGTTTTTTGTCAATTAATATTTCTTGGTTGCAAAGCATGATTTTGACATTGTGAGATTCCCCTCGTACCACACCACACGAGGCATGATTACATCACTCGTCCATGTTGTTCTATCTGAGGTGGGTAGTCAGTTATCTCCCTTGCCTCGGGAAGATGGCAAACTGGACGTTTATAGTCAGTGATCTCCCTTGCCTTGGGAAGATGGCAAACTGGACGTTTATAGTCTGTTATCTCCCTTGCCTCGGGAAGATGGCAAACTGGACGTTTATAGTCAGTTATCTCCCTTGCCTCGGGAAGATGGCCAACTGGACGTTTATAGTCAGTTATCTCCCTTGCCTCGGGAAGATGGCCAACTGGACGTTTATAGTCAGTTATCTCCCTTGCCTCGGGAAGATGGCCAACTGGACGTTTATAGTCAGTTATCTCCCTTGCCTCGGGAAGATGGCCAACTGGACGTTTATAGTCAGTTATCTCCCTTGCCTCGGGAAGATGGCCAACTGGACGTTTATAGTCAGTTATCTCCCTTGCCTCGGGAAGATGGCCAACTAGACGTTGATAGTCAGTTATCTCCCTTGCCTCGGGAAGATGGCCAACTGGACGTTTATAGTCAGTTATCTCCCTTGCCTCGGGAAGATGGCCAACTGGACGTTTATAGTCAGTTATCTCCCTTGCCTCGGGAAGATGGCAAACTGGACGTTCATAGTCAGTTATCTCCCTTGCCTCGGGAAGATGGCAAACTGGACGTTCATAGTCAGTTATCTCCCTTGCCTCGGGAAGATACCACTGATGCAACTCAATGGTCGGACTCAAAGACTTGGTTGATTGTGTTTCATTGTACCGAGAAGGCAAGGGACACAGCTGCCATACTGTTGCCTGGCGTCAAACAACAAACAAAACAAAAAAAATCCTAGCGAACAAATAACAGGAGTTTATATCACAAACAGTGTCTGCAGTCAAACCAACCTCAGCATCAACTCTTATCTCGCATATGTCATCATTAATCTGTACTGCAAGGACTCACCTTTGTTGGAAGTCAGGTATCGTCATGACGACCTGCATGAGAGAGTTCATATAACAACTGTTGCCAAGGTTACGCATCCCGGTGTATCCCGGGCCATACATCGGCGTAAGTTTACTTCCAGCCTCCTGGATGACGTCCCACTCCCCAATCTTCTGATTCAGGTCAATCTCCAGCTCCAACATCGTCTTCTCAGTCTGTAACCATGGTTAAACACATTTACACATACCAGGAATATTATACAATATAACCAGAGGACATCACCAGAAACATAAGAATAAACTTCTAGGGAGTGGTCAATCATTATAGACAGGATGGAGATTGGGGGTGAACAGATGCATGGCCGCACCACATGGTTTTATCCCGCAATACAATACACAATATATTTTTTCTGTATCAATACAAGATGTTATACTTATTATTTTTTTATTATTTTGCTTTTTTCTTTACATTTGTTTGTTTGTTGTTTACGCTGCACTCAGCAATATTCCAGCTATATGACAGCGGTCTGTAAATAATCGAATTTGGACGAGACAATCCAGTGATTGACATCATGAACATCCCACGTGACTTTAACTATTAATACTTTTTGGGAGGGTTGCCAAAAAAACACACACACACACATATTGAGTACTCATGTACCCAAATCCACAATCGAGTCCTCACCATTTCGCATAAGTATGATTAGTATTATAATCATTAACGATCAGTCGCGTGCAAGATGAAAAGGGAGACAACTCCCTTTGTCAAAAGGAGATGACACATCTCCCTCATCATCATGTAGTCCTACCTTCTGCATGGCGGTGATGTTGATGCCGAAGTGTGCCAGGTGCTTGGTCAGATGGGGATCCAGAACCATGTCGTCCTCGTCATACGAGTACACGTCTAGGAGAAACACAGAGCCCGACATTAGTGGGGGGATGTAGCAACTATGTAGTGGTGACCATGTTGTCTTTGTCAATGAATACATGTCTAGGAAGAATAGATAGATCAATGTCGTCCTCGTCACATGAGTACACGTCTAGGAGAAACACAGAGCCCGACATTAGTGGGGGGATGTAGCAACTATGTAGGGGTGACCATGTTGTCTTTGTCAAATGAATACATGTCTAGGAAGAATAGATAGATCAACACTAGATCAATGTCGTCCTCGTCACATGAGTAGGCGTCTAGGAGAAACACAGAGCCCGACATTAGTGGGGGAATGTAGCAACTGTGTAGGGGTGACCATGTTGTCTTTGTCAAATGAATACATGTCTAGGAAGAATAGATAGATCAACACTAGATCAATGTCGTCCTCGTCACATGAGTAGGCGTCTAGGAGAAATACAGGACTCGACATTAGTGGGAGGACGTATCAACTGTGTAGGGGTGACAATGTTGTCTTTGTCAAATGAATACATGTCTAGGAAGAATACATAGATCAACACTAGAATGTCTGGTGGGAGTAAGAAGCAACTATGTTGGGGTGACAATGTCGTCCTCGTCATATAAGTACACGTCTAGGAGGAAGGCAGGGCTCGGCATTAATGGGAGGACGTATCAACTGTGTAGGGGCGACAATTTCGTCCTCGTCACATGAGTACGCGTCTAGGAGGAATGCAGGACCCGACATTAGTGGGAGGTCGTATCAACTGTGTTGGGGTGACAATGTCGTCCTTGTCATATGAGTACCCGTCTAGGAGGAAGGCAGGGCTCGACATTAGTGGGAATACGCAGCCACAGTGCACAGTAATGCTGTATGGTATTACCATTGAAAGGTGAGAATCCGAGATAATATTCAGCCCCACAATAGATCCGAGCAGGTAAGGGACACCACTCTGCACAGCCCACCTTTAATCTTATTAATTGTGATGCAATGTGACCTGAATTTCAGCACTGAAATTCACTGAAAATGTTCAAGTGAAAGTAATCAGACACAATGTATGTGTTGAAGGCGACTCATTCAGAATATGATACACCTGACACAAGCTGTCTGACCTAGAGGTTCAACATTGCTGTTCTGGTCACAAATAAATCAATTTTAAAGTGAGTGAGTGACTATGGTTTTATGGCTAACAATATTCCAACAATATCACGGCAGGGACACCAGAAACATTGTACCTTGTGGAGAATCAAACCCGTGCCTTCAACATGACGAGCAAACGCTTTAACCACAAGGCTACCCCACCACCCCAAGTCAGTTTTTAAACACACACACGACACATTGAATATACATGATAAAGAATTATTCACCTTAAAAGCATGTGTGATAAAATTTGTCTGGACTCTCTGCACACCTAGACACAGACCTGTTTTAATGACAAAATACTCATAAAGACATCTAGGAAGTGACTCCTAGTCACAGTTGAAGGCCGTACCTGCACCGTCAGGGGTGATGGTCCCTAGCTTGACAGCCAGGGGATACTTGCACTCTGCGAAGTGGTCCACGGCGTGGTTGTTGCCGCCACTGCCATCAAAGAACTTGCGGCCACAGAGAATGGATCCGTCTGTGAGGTTGAGCCAGAGGTTGGTGGTGAGGTCACACCTCTCACACTTCCAGCCACTGGGGGGGATCTTGCGGCCAGTGTCCAGCTGTAGCAGGTCGTCCGCATGTCTGGACAACAAGACCGCACAATAAATCAGGGGCAGTTTAACTGCTGGCCCGTTGGACAGTGGCCAATTAAAATTACAAAGAGCTAGCTGAAACATAAAGTAGATGGCCTCTCTGGGTAGTCAAAATATCAACCATTCACTGTGTATGTTTAATTTTTTTAATTGGATTATCTCGGATGAATTATAACCGGACGCCATTTTGTAATGTTGTGTACAACATTTTCTTTATTTGCTCATAAGACGCCATGAAATGAGGCAAATGGAAGCCAAGATTAATCTCAGAGAGCAGGAAAAAACGTTTAAGGGGTGAAGAGTTTTAATATTTTCAGAGCCCCACTAGGTGGCTACGCGATCTCAGGTTCAGCCACTACGCGGCCTTCACCACCAGTTGTAGCTTGTAGTATGGAGAAGGGCCAGTAACTTTTAAAGGAGCAAGCCCTGCTGGCTACATACAAATTTGTTGTGAAATCTACCCCTGCAAAGGACAGCGCCTCTACATGCTGAGCTGTGCCTACAGATTTACCCGATTCTCAGGACCCGTGAAGATTCCGGGGTAGAATAGGTCTTCAGCAACCCATGCTTGCCGTAAAAGGTGGCTCTGCTTGTCGTAAAAGGCGACTAATGGGATCGGGTGGTCAGGCTCGCTGACTTGGTTGATTCATGTCATCGATCCCAATTGCGTGGATCGATGCTCATGATATTAATCACTGGATTGTCTGTTCCTGACTCGATTATTTACAGACCCCCGTCATATAGCTGGAATATTGCTGAGTGCGGCGTTAAACAACAAACCAACCAACCAACCAACCTGATTCTCAGATAAGTGTGTTTGTTGTTTTGGATGTTTCTAATTTAATGCTGCGGTCATCAATATTCCATCTACATCGCTTTGGAAAGTGACATTCAGTGGCAAATTGGGGGAAAATATTATTTTGAGAAAAATTGGGATATTATTAAAAAAAATCATTGATCATAAAAAAAGGGTATTTCAGCAAGCCAAAATCGGCAGTAGGCCCAACTCCCTCCCTCACTCCCATCTCACCTGGATTTCTGTCGGATCTCTCCATCCCATGTTCCTGCCATGGCTGCTGCTTCTTCCAGCTTCCAAGCATCCTCGGCCATCAGGATGGTGGCCACGGAGATCTGGACCTGCAGGAACAGGCATTTGTAGTTGGAATTGACAAACAGGGTTCAATATTCTCCATTAGCCAGGTATTACCTCCATCGCAGTATAATAACACTCTGGACTCGGACTATGTCAGTCATACATTTTGTATTTGAATAACACTATGTCATGCACAAAAGAATTTATGTGGGAAGATGGCGATATGTCACTTCCCAGATGAAGCTAAATTAGCCATAGCAGCATATTGCTCTAAGACATTAAAACTTATAGACTGGGGAGGACATTTCTAAAACCATAACGGTAATTCTTGGATGAAACAGACAGAATCTAAAACAATTGAAGGATGGGCTCCTTATTTAAACAAGGTACTCAAATATCATTTGTTTGTTTGTTGTTTGACGCTGCAAAGGCAATATTCCAGCTATATGACGGCGGTCTGTAAATAATCGAGTATAGATCTATGCAACTGGGATATGATGGCATGTATCAACGAAGTCAGCGAGCCTGACCACCCAGTCCCCTTAGTCGCCTCTTACGACAAGCATAGTCGCCTTTTACGGCAAGCATGGGTTGCTGAAGACCTTTTCTAACCTGAATCTTAACGGGTGAACTCAAATAAGCAACCTGACTGACTTATTGTTTTACTTGCAACACAAATGTTTAATCACAGCTGAAAACAGCCATCAAAAACATTTGGCAAAAAATGGGTTGTTACTGAATATTATCGTTGCTATAGCTATTTTGACCTATATATTTGAAAAGAGTACAAATAACATCTGTACTAAACAAGTCATCTGTTATAAACATAGTAAAATAATATTACATAAAAACTGGTAATACCTGCTGGTTATTTTTGTTCAACTGTAAGTCAATATCACATAATACCCCTGGAACCAGCTTGAGTGAGTGAGTTGGGTTTAACACCGCTTTTAACATTATTCCAGTTATATCACAGCGTGTCAGCTTTATGTGGCAGGAAAGCCCCAAGTGATGCAGGTCTCAGACGTTTACCACTTCGGTGAAACCAGTGAGCACGGGTATGGTGCTGACAAACATAGAAACATAATCAGGGCGAACCGGGATTCGAACCCACAATCATAGGTTTCTGGCCTGCCCAAGGGACGCAACTCTGCACAGCGAATCGCCGCGCCTTAGACGACTCGGCCACCGTGCCCCCTGGAAAAACCTCGAAGTAATTTGACATCCATATTCAGGTTGGTATGAAAGTAATCACACTAGGTGCCATCACACTAGTTTCAGATGGAGATGCTTGTAACAGTAACAATTTATCCTCCTGCCATCCAAAATCTGAGTCTGTGTTTCGTAATTTCTCAATATATGCCCAAACAGTTCTCTTTCAGTCCTGACATTTAAACATATGCGGAGTGGGCAAGTGGTCAAAAGTGCCAGGTGCTGAGATCGTATCCTGCTAGGCACGGGGTTGTTAGTCAACCTTGGGACCAACAATGTGTACAGGTCCTTACAGTGTTGTTACTACTCCTAGTGTACAGTACATGGCAGATGACCAGATGGTGGAAACATGAATACGTACATACACCCGAAACACAAGTGTCAAAACGTGTGTTGTCACCCTGGGCAAGTGACTTATTTCAAATGTGCCTCTGTTCACCCAGCAGGGATTGGGTACCCAATGTGAAGTGTATGTAAAAACCTTCTAGCGCCCCAGGCAGCTGAGGTTTTATACTCCCCAGGGTGTTGAGAATGATAACTGAAATGGAAACGGATCAACTGGTCGGGGAACAAATCAAACCGCATTTGAGCAGATACTGGTACCTGGATACCTGCAGTATATAAATGTATAAAAACATAATATATAAAAAAAACCATGTAAAGATGACTTACAGCATCAGGGAGATCTGGGTTTGGCACAGCGATCTCGAGGTGGTTCGGCATCACCACAACGGAGGTCGTCTCCTCGAAACGGAACTTCTTCTCATCCACTTGAAACCCTCCCTCCACTCCTGGAGACAAAACATCAGTAACCATGGTAACCATCTTTTAACATACTAACAGAAAAAAACATATCTTTTCTTCATGTAAAGTTCAATAAAAACATATTTATTCAGAAAGTAAATAATGCATCTTTGAATTCATAAAGACATCTCCTTGACTTTACATCTTTCCGATGAAAGAGAGTTAACTGACTATTAAAGTCCAGTTTCCACCCTTGCCAAACTAGGCTGGTATTATGGAGTTACATTTTGGCTGGACTAACGAGTCTATGCACAGTCCAATCAAAATCGTTGTGCAGATTTCAGTTGATTGCAGGATTTGCAATGCATGTACACCGCCAGATATTTTTTTAAATCTTTTAATGTTTTTAATCAAGGTGCTCACGTGATTTGATGCACTTCGCCATGTAAGACCCCTCTTATTACAATATAGGTGTTGATTATCGATCAGATCATCTTGACAGGGCACCGCCATTTTGTTTGAAACAAATGCAAGTGATACGAGAGGTGGAATCTGATTGGCCCATAGGAGAGGATTAGAAGGGACATAACTCGTAATAACCACTGGTGGCGCTACGATCGAGCTCAGGAATTTCAGCTTAGTTCGGCAAGGGTGGAAACTGGACTTTTAAAGTCAGTTAACTCTCTTGCCTCGGAAAGATGTGACTTTAAGACATACATGTGCATGCTGAATCACGATGCATGATTTGGCAGTTTGCGTGTTTCTTGGGAGCATGATGCTCACACACATTGTTTTTGAAAGCAAACAGCACATAGTGATTCTTTAGCTATCAGGTGCTCATAAAAACACTTTTGTTCAACCCTAAATAATGCTTACGCAATGCCCTGGCTCGCTAAAAATCAATGTCTACACGCAATGGATATGCTGCAAACAGGAATGGAGCAATACGAAGTTGCCTGACATTATAACGTTTATCGAAACACAATATCATCTCTTAGGAAACCTTATCTACACTCACCACCTGCCACGGGCCGTTCATTCATGTGTGACGTCACGTCAACAAGATAGCCATATTTGGTTGGTACATCTAAGGATTCAATACCCAACTGCCACGTGCAATTGTGGACAAGCTTACATAGGAGAAACATCTAGGCCCCTCAAAACACGTATAAAAGAACATCAAAGCTCAGTCTCCAAAGATGACCACATCCGTGACAACCCAAGCCACAGCATTCAGTGGGAGAGAGTCACAGCCCTACCAACCTCAAAGACTTCAAGATCAGGAAACTACAAGAAGCCATCAACAGCAAAAGAATACAGCCGTCAATCAACCGTGACCAAGGCTATTACATACACCCGGCGTACCATCAACTCATCAAAGACCCCAATCAGCCATAATCCCATTGTTTATGTCACTGACTTCACCGATGATTGTCATTACTACCCGTGTGTGTACATAACAGGCTTCTCTACTCCAGTATAACAATATCTACTCTACTGTATAAACATTGCCTCACACTTGTATATATACTTGCCAACCACACTGTGTATATCACTTGCTTGATAACGGTGTTAGAACCTACACCGAAACGTCGCTCTTAATTGTAATAAAGAAGTTGTTCATCCATAAATTCTTATCGTTACTTACTCTATTCCAAATCAAATGACTGGGTTTCCTGCACAAAACCCACATGATGCACATCGTATCATAGCTTCTGTATCGAGATACCTATCGTATCGTGACATGTATCATATTGTGTGGCTTCTGTATCGTGACATCTCTACTTACCTATTGCAAGTTTTGTTGGTTTCACTTGAGGCTCGGCCTCCTCTGTCTGTGGAATCTGCAAATGACAGAAAGTAGAGCTGTACAACTTAGAACATACTGAAGACCATTAGACACTGGCACTAGTACAATGCCAATAGTCCACAGACAAATCCTACATGGATACGATATTCATAACTTAAATAAGGACGATTTCCCCCCTATAAATTATGATTTATGAATCTATGAGTAGTGACAGGGTCAAAGCCTTCCACAGATGTTGTTTTGTGTTGTTTGTTTATTTAACGCCACACTCAGCAATATTCCAGCTATATGACAGTGGCCTTTAAATAATCAAATATGGACCAGATCATCCAGTGCTGGATAGTGCAAGATATTAGGGTACAATGTGATGCCATCGAGGTACAATCATACCAAGTTACTTAGCCTGACCGTCAGTGTTCAAGATAAAAACAATTCCCAGTCTGCCATCAGGACCCACAAACTTCAGCTCTCATTTAAAAAAAAAATGCAGCTTATTGTGACAGAGACGTAACTTTACTGCAGGCCATAAGGAACCATTCAAATTTTAAACTACAGGCTCTGATACGAAATCTGACAGGCCCTGATATGAAATCTACCATCCACTGGCCTACGGGAAGGCACTTATTTCAAGACCGCCTCCGTGGTCTAGTGGTAGAGCGTCCGCCCGGAGAGCGGAAGGTCCGGGGTTCGATCCCCGGCTGCGTCATACCAAAAGACGTTAAAAGATGGTACTTGTTGTTACCCTGTCTGGCGCTTGGCATTAAGGGGCTAATACAAGGCCTGGTTGGCTCGGAGTCAGTATACTGTGTCTGAGTGGAGTATTCATGTTAAACTGCGGCATGGTATCTCAGTGAGCTAGCACTATAAATCGGCATCAGTCCGGACTAGTACAAGCAGCCACACAAACACACACACGTGCATGCACGTTTCTATATAAGTGCAATAATCTTGGACGCGACTTTAAACCCCATTTCACCTCACTTATTTCAAACACTGCTGACCACTCGATCCATTTGGTCACCACTGACGACCAGCAGAGGGTGCTGGTGACCGATTCTAACCCAGAATCCCAACAGGGTGATGTTACCATGGTTACTCATGAATGATAAAGGAGCCATGCAAGAGTTTATCTTGCCATATTTTATTCTCATTGGTTGTAATAGGAACATGATCAATCGTTGTGTCGAACTTGTGGGGATCTGGAAAAATGCTTGATTAATCTGTGGTTAGCGACAACCAACAAAGCGAATATTTCTGTTGTGCACTGTGATTTGGAAGCATCCTGCGTTTGATGTAATTAAGGCCTGTCATTAGTGAGTGAAGAGAGTTGAAAGTTTGGCAAGTGTAGGTGTGTAGATGTTATTTTGTATTTTGAACTAGTCAGGACATCAAGGCAATTTAATGCTGAATGTTGATACTAAGGACTCCCAGGACTGGAAGGTGATTTCAACATATCCAAGTTCGACAAAACGGTGTTCGACTTAATATGCATGACATAGGACAAAGATTTCTTTCTAAATCATTCAGTCTTTCAGATAGTTATACAGTTAACTTCTGATATTACAAAATTCAAGGTGCGTGTCTGAAATTTTCTGCAGATTAATATAAACATGATGGGCTGGGTTAACGGTTTAGGCTTCATCATCTTCCCGAGGCAAGGGAGTTAACTGACTTTAAAAGTCCAGTTTCCACCCTTGCCGAACTAGGCTGGAATTACTGGGCTCGATCGTTGCGCCACCAGTGGCTATTACCAATTATGTCCCTTCTAAGCCTCTTCTATGGACCAATCAGATTCCACCTGTCGTATCACTTGCATTTGCTTCACACAAAATGGTGGCGCCCAGTCAGGACGATCTGATCGATAATCAAGATCTATATTGTGATAAAACGGGTCTTACATCGCAAAATACATCAAATCACGTGAGCACCTTGATTAAAAAACATGAAAGGATTTTGAACATATCTGCTGACAACAAATTGGCGATGCACATGCTTTGCAAACCCTGCAATCGATCGAAATCTGCACGACAGTTTACGAACCGGATTTTGATTTCGGTGCGCGATTTTGATTGGACTATGCATAGACTCGTTAGTCCAGACAAAACGTAACTCCATAATACCAGCCTAGTTCGGCAAGGGTGGAAACTGGACTTTTGTAGTCAGTTAACTCTCTTGCCTCGGGAAGATGAATAAATATATGCTTGAATCATTATTCATTTCTTTGCCACTTCTTATTTTTAATTTACCCCATTGATTGTAACAACACATTGTCTCTATTGTCCGACCTTAATGAACCCCAAAACCTGCCTGGTCATTGGTTTTTATACCCCTTAACCATGTGTTCAGGTCTGCTTTACGGAAACGAACCGATTATGCATAGAGATACATGGTCATATGATGGAACTAAAACCATGGAAACTAAAAGGACTCATTTCCAACAGGGCTCCAAATCTAAGCCCAACTCCTATCAGCTGTAAGTTACATTAACCTGCTTAATACAAACAAATAATGCATACCTCAATGCGAATTCTCTTGATCCTGAGAAACACAGCATTTCCAGTCTTGTTGTAGTGTCGCATCAGATGTTTCTTTCCCACACCCAGGAATGTGTTCATACACACGTACAGCCCATCTTCACTCTCCTGATAAAGCATTAAATATATACCAGTCAACTAAACCTTCACCACAGTGCTCTTTTACACTTGATTCATAAGTTCATCACCTGTTCACGTCACCTTGAAGAAGTGATTACAACAGTTTCAGATTTTTACTCAAATATCCCAAAGGCTAAAAACAACCAAAGACCTCTCTTAGTCCTTGTTCATCTTGGTAAACATGTGTCATAAATTCCACCAGTCTGCAGATGATATTCCTTTTTGGTTGTAGTCAAAACGGCCTCATGTCAGATCGGCCTCAATACTCAAAAGTCAAAATGGCCACAAAAATGTCAAAATGGCCACAAACTCATAGTCAAAACTGCCACACACAAAAAGTCATAACGACCACAGGGAAAAAGTCAAAATGTCCATGGTAATAAATTAATGTGAGCAGGATGTGTACAGAATATACATGTTAAATGTTGTTATTACAATGTAATATCTTCCAGTAGAGGTCACATGTCATCAATTTACTTTGATCTCTGTACTGACCAGTGTACCAATCTGTTGTGAAAACAGGAATGAAATTTTATCCTAATGAGGAAACTTTTCAGTGTTTTTATTTCAAACTAATCCTACACAAGGATGCGTCTCTGTCTGGCCTTCAGGTTTCCCAGATACAAGCTGTCAAACTCCGCAGCTACATACATAAGAATACTATAAACCAGTGAGAAGAAATCTTTGTGGGCTGGAGAATGTACAAGGCGACATAACACCATCTGAGCTGCTGAACATATGCACTTCAAACCATCGACCATGGGTTTAATATGTGATACGGAACTGTGATATAGAACTTTGTAATCACTTGTATAGTACTGAGTTAGTGATGAATTAAGAACTGTGTGCACATGGTAATGTTAAGAACTGTTATACAATGTATATAATATAATTACTGACTGAGTAGTGTTTTACGCCGCTTTTAGCAATATTCCAGCAATATCACGACGGGGGACACCAGAAATGGGCTTCACACATTGTACCCATGTTGGGAATCAAACCCGGGTCTTCGGCGTGACGAGCAAGGCTTTAACCACTAGGCTACCTGACCGCTCCTATAATATAATTAATGTGACACAATACTTGAGTTAGCCTTTTATATTTTTTGTTGTGGGCGTTGTGATGTTTTGTGTGGCTGTTTTGACTATGGGTTGTGGCCGTTTTGACTTTTTTCCGTGGCCGTTTTGACTTTTTTCCGTGGCCGTTTTGACTTTACCTTTAGAGGCTGTTCTGACATGAGGCCGTTTTGACCTGTCTCTTCGTTGCAAGTTACATCACAGCCTTTCCATAAACTTTTTAAACTGGTACTATTTTGACACCTTGCCATTCATCCAGGTGATGATCCACAAGATGCCCTTAGCAAATATTTACAGCAACTTCAAAAAAAAATTAAATAATTAATCTTACAAAGAAAAAATAGGCTATCATATTTTATTATGAGAAATTTAAAAACATTAATCAATATCAAAACATACTGTTTTGTGGTCATGCAAATGTTTAAGGAGATAACATGTGATAGCAGGGATAATGTAATTTTCTTTTCCATCAGAATTATTTGTTTTGTGTTTTCACTTTTAGTCGAGGTTCGTAAGTGGATAGAAACAGTATGTCACTGCGCGAGAAATTACAGAGTTGATACGTACAGGGTTATCAAAAGAATATGCACATTCATCCTTGTAGACTTTCTCGCCGCCACCAGGGGATCTTATCTTAGACAAATGTTGTTTTAGTTGCTCCATTGCCATTTCACTTGTCATGCTTTGACTCTAACAAACCGGATGTTATCTCCCTTGGTACCGGTTTCTATCTACCAATCAGAAATCGTGTCATTTCTGTCGTTTTGTGCCTACCAAAATATGACACTGCATTTCATTGGCTGAAGCGGGAAGTTCAAACTTGTATACGGACCCTTGTCTGCATGGAAAGGAGGTAAGCAAATGTTCGGGCAATATCTGCATGTTGTTGTGAAAGGGTAGGTGTACCAACAGGAGGCTTTTTGAATGTAAATTTGGGGCCCCCGTTATTTAATGTTTGAGCGTAATTAGTGAAGTTACAAACGGATTTATGCATATACCAGGAATTTAAATACGCCGAATACGGATAAGTCTGAAAAGCTGACGGGGACGTTCTGGATGTTTGCTCTCACCATGGACCACTAGCCTCGTAGCCTGGTCAGGTGTTGAAAACCCTAAGAGAGTAATGCACTTTATGGCAGAGATCCAGATAAGCTGCGTATCTGTGTAAAAAACGCATCAGAAATGCAGAAATAGGCAGTAAAATAATATCCAAGCGTATCAAATACGCAACGAACATTACAGATACGCTACAAAAATAAAACTTGTGCGTATATTCAAAATATTGTGAAGTAACCCTGCGTATTCGATTGGCAAATCAGCAACTTATTTTGAAATTATAAACGGGCATTCCGTCAACCTTGCCAAACTCCACGATGACAGTTACATCATGATCATTTGCCATCACACTTTCTTGTGGAAGTATCGTGGTATTTTTTAGTCCTATAAAGCTCTCGAACCCACACAACACCAGTTTGCAGGGACTAGATGAATAGTGTGTTTAAATATTTAACTTAAATACCCACATGTGTAAAAACTAGTGGGTAACAGAAATTTGAATACCCAGATAGAATTACTGATACGTAGTGATTTTAAAATGCATGGGTAAAATACCCACAACACCAAAAGCTTATCTGGAGCTCTGCTTTATGGACTACATTTATGAGGAGCAATTGCATTTAGATTAGCTCCACATCCTGACCACAAATAATAACATCCGAAAATTAAATTACCACCAGAATTTAGGAAGTCAACATGCACACAAAGGGCAAACACGACTATTTGTATCGATATGATCATGCTGAACCAGTCTAATGCATGTTGCTACAAAAGTTCAGCTTGCTGTAAGTATGTTTGCGTCTCAGCAATTATAATTACATTTAAAATTGCATCACCAGATCACAGCAATTAGACTAAGGCATTGTGCCTGATATGAAGTTATGTAATACTATAAGGTGAAATAAAAATAATTCTAAAAGGGAACCATCCAGTATTAAGGAATCCAGAAGTCTCTTCATGGTACACATGCATGATACACATGCATCATACATGTCATACTGGATACCTACCTACCATATTGTGTTTGGAATGGAATGAGTACAGGTTGATGAGTAGTGGGGTGATCATAAGGAATGGAAATTGGTGTTTGTTTTGATAATTATTCTCAGAGTATGGCTGGGACGGGTTAATCGGGTCGGATGGGTCCTACATCATGTACATAGGACCAGGTACTCACAAGATTACCCTGACCTGTGGTTAATCTCGTGAAATAATTTAATGACAATAACTTTACAATTCCATGGTTATCCCAAAAAATTAAGTTGCTAATGTTTGCATTACATTTTGAATTTTATATGAGTAAAGATAAAACTTCAGTCAACTTCAGTGCATATGTGTGTATGTAAATAGTTTTTACCAAGGCTCTGGTAAAACAATTCCAAATCAGACATTTTGTACCCAACCCTTGGGACCTTCAGCAGATACCTGGATAGGGTCGGGTACCCTGGTAGTTAATTTGGACTCATTCGTATCCAACTCTGTAAGTGACTGGTCTCTGTAATTGAGACTACCCAGCAATACTCATCTGCCCTCATGATCACACATTCAGCTAACCACTAGTATACATTGTAGGCTGCTGAGAACTAAAACGATGTCATAAGGAACAGCTCATCCTAATACTGACATCTTCCTGGGGCAAGAGAATTAACTGACTATAAAAGTCCAGTTTCCACCCTTGCCGAACTAGGCTAGTATTATCGAGTTGCATTTTGGCTGGACTAACGAGTCTATGCATCATGTGCATAGTCCACTCAAAATCGTACTCCGAAACTGTGATGCAGATTTCGATTGATTGCAGGATTTGCAAAGCATGTGCACCACTAACTCGTTGTCAACAGATATTTTCTAAATCTGTTCATGTTTTTAATCAAGGTGCTCTCGTGATTTGATGCACTACACGGTGTAAGACTCGTTTTATCACAATATATAGATCTCGATTATCGATCAGATCGTCTTGATTGGACGCCGCCATTTTGTTTGAAGCAAATGCAAGTGATACGAGAGGTGGTATCTGATTGGTCCATAGGAGAGGCATAGAAGGGACATAACTCGTACTAGCCACTGGTGGCGCTACGATCATGCCCAGGAATTCCAGCCTAGTTTGGCAAGGGTGGAAACTAGACTTTTAAAGTCGGTTAACTCTCTTGCCTCGGGAAGATGAATACTGACGGTCCATGCTTCTATATTTTTCAGTTAACATCTCATCATGGGAGCAATTGGCAGCAAGATAGAAATGTTGGATGACGGAACTGGTACCCCAGTCAAGTGTCACATCGCCAGTCGCCAACTCGATGACGATCCCCGCTCACCAACCAACAACATTCCACGTACGCCTATCATGGTGGACAAAACACCTGATGGACTTCTTGACCCACGGTCACCTACACCTGGAATTTGGAGGACACCCATTAACAATTTCATGAAAAAAGGTATAATATTCCAGAAAGCATTCTGTTCAAATCAAGTTCAAAACATTAGATTTAACTGTGGAAATGGAATTGTCCAACTACAGATCTTGAAGCAAGGGTCTTCCTTGTCTTGACAATCGACAGGCCCCTGTAATATATATGGAATATTGCTGAGTATGTTGTCAAACAACACTCACATGGAAACACAAGTATTTAATTTGTTGTGCAGAATTTACAATCCCAGATCAGTTTGTCAACCATGTGCTGTTTCCTTTAGATGAAGCCAAGTCTGTCCAAGAGGATGTCAAGCCCCTTCTGGAGGCCAACACGAGTCCCGACATGCCCTGCAAGCAGGATATTGGGGAGCCAGACAAACTGGACAGGAAGGATGACCTGGGGGCGGCCGCCGAGCTCCAGCACATGTCACTGTCCGACGTGGACGAGTCTTCAAGTCTACTTGTCACGAACCGTGAGTCCTGTTTGTTGTGTTTCCTGAGCAATCTTATTAAAATCAGATCCTAGTTCTCGCTACCGCAAAACAAAGATCTGAGGACATCCCATTACGGGTCATCTTTCATCCGACCAATCACAGCATCTCTTACCAGATCACGAAAGTGACAGTCGGAAAGTGTTTTCTAATCCTGCAAACTCAAAAAATTTATAAGGGGCTTTTCCGAACGACAAATACAGGCTTTATGACTGAATCCATGCAGCTTAGGCCATCTATTAACCATTCCAGAATATTCTTTTGTTCAGTTTTCAAAATTTTAATCGAATATATAATATGTTTCGAAGCATAGTCACCCGTATAAAACTTTTGCCCTAATGCACGAGAAAGCTGCTTCTGATTGGCTAATGTTGACCTCTTGTCAGTCATTCCATTGGTCGGTCAAAGTTTGCCAAAGTTAGCCATGTGTCCGGAAGAGTCAGGGCTCTCCTCTCTCATTAGCCTTCTAACCAGGCAGGGGCGGTCGGGTAGCCTAGTGGTTAAAACGTTCACTCGTCACGCCGAGTTCAATTCCCGACATGGGCACAATGTGTGACGCCCATTTCTGGTGTCCCCCACCGTGATATTGCTGGAATATTGCTAAAAACACTCACTCTAAACAGGCAAGATCATCAATCCTCACTGAATATAGTTCTCACATCTCATTGTCATGTTTACAGTTGGGATATGTTTAACTTTCATTCTAATGTTGTCACTCATTGTGGGAAGAGCCCACTTTGCTGTGCAACTACCAACATGAAATCATGAATTTGATAAACTATGTAGGGGTGACTGAGTGCATTTTTTGATAGGCATTTAGAAGATGGAAGAACACTTTTAATGGATAGCAACTTTTTTTATTCTTTGTTGACGTTTCAGAACTACTTCATCACTTCATCATTTCATGCAGGAAGAAGTAGCTCTAAAACGTCATGACAATGTTGTTAATGTGTATACATAGAAATGTCAACAGTGCCCATATCTGGGCATATATCAATATTCATGCGCAACCAGATTTGCAACTGGTTTCAGTTTGGTCTGTTAACGATAGATAGTTGTTTTGTATTTACACTTAAATATATATTTAACGTGGGTAATAAATAAAATACTACACTCATTCTCGTTAGATACCATTTTTACGAAACTCATGAACTTTCTATGGTATCTGACCTCGCTTTCGCTCGGTCAGTTACCATAGAAAGTCCACTCGTTTTGTAAAAATGGTATCTAACGAGAATGAGTGTAGTATTCTCTATGTATGATTCTGTTCTCATGATATAACCTATTGTAATATTCAGCTAAGCCAGTTGTCACAAAGAAACCCAAAGGGCAGAAGACACAACCCAAGAAGCTGTTCTATGACAAGAAGAGACCCAGCAAGGCGTTCAGCTCCACCCCCAAGTCTGTGCTCACCTCCACCCCGCCCCGCTCCCCCCTCTCTACCGTTGTCATAGATACCAACTCTCCACGGGTCATCATGCACAGGAAACAGACAAAGAAGATCGACGCAGCTCGTCAGTGTCGGCTCGGGGCTCTACGGTCCTCGCAGGATAAGGAAAATGTTGACATGTGAAATCTGCTCAAAATATATTTCATCTTTGACAAATGACTGCAGTCTCAATCAACTACTTTTACTGGATGCTACTGTTGTGATACCCACGACACATGACTGGACTAGGGTGCTGAAAGGTCACACTGTCTTGATGTCAGGGGTTGTTAAGTACATCTTGCAGGTGACCCTGGTCGTGATAAGAGTAGACCTTGGTCCACTTAATCAGTGTCACGTGAGTCAGAAAATAAGAACACATTCCTTTTAGTGCATATTTTATGAAATCATTCTTGAGAATTACTAGACTGGAATTTTTAGCATTTTAAACACTGAACATGTTGAACACAAAATATATAAAAAGTAAATGACATGAGAAGTAAACCACCAGTATTATGACCTGTTCCTTGATAACATTTGCATACATCTACCTCTAAATAAACTGACAAACCAACATGCTTCATCTTTCACAGGTGCTTATATATGTCTTCTAATCTGTTTCAATTGCTGTCAACTAGACAAGATCTGACGTGAAAGCTTTGTCTTGTCGTGTTTCAATTGCTGTCGACAAGATCTTATGTGAAAGCTTTGTCTTGTCATGTTTCAATTGCTGTCGACAAGATCTTATGTGAAAGCTTTGTCTTGTCATGTTTCAATTGCTGTCTACAAGATCTTATGTGAAAGCTTTGTCTTGTCGTGTTTCAATTGCTGTCTACAAGATCTTAAGTGAAAGCTTTGTCTTGTTGTGTTTCAATTGCTGTCGACATGATCTTATGTGAAAGCTTTGTCTTGTCATGTTTCAATTGCTGTCTACAAGATCTTAAGTGAAAGCTTTGTCTTGTCATGTTTCAATTGCTGTCGACAAGATCTTATGTGAAAGCTTTGTCTTGTCGTGTTCAATTGCTGTCTACAAGATCTTAAGTGAAAGCTTTGCCTTGTCGTGTTTCAATTGCTGTCTACAAGATCTTAAGTGAAAGCTTTGTCTTGTCATGTTTCAATTGTTGTCGACAAGACATGATCTTTTGTGCTAAAACTAATTAATTGTTATAAACATGATAAGTAGATTTACTAAGTAAATATGAAATCTCACATTTGGGTGATGCATTGTATGTCATTTGGATGTGTTTGGTTGGCAGTGTTCTTATAAAGTGAATAAAGCATCATGTTCAAGAAGGGGGCACGGGTGGTCCAGTCGTCTAAGGCGCCGCGATTCGCTGTGCACAGTTGCATCCCTTGGGCACGCCAGAAACCTATGATTGTGGGTTCGAATCCCGGTTCGCCCCAATTATGTTTCTTGGTTTGTCAGCACCATACCCGTGCTCGTGGGTTTCACCAAAGTGGTAATCGTCTGAGACCTGCATCACTTCGGGCTTTCCTCACACATTAAGATGACACGCCGTGATATAACTGGAATACTGTTAAAAGCGGCGTTAAACCCAACTCACTGACTCACACATGTTCAAGTACATTTTCTGTTATGCCATCCTGTTGTATATAATATCTTCTCAACATGTTGCCACCAACGTCTGTCAGATTGCCACTTGAATGATTAAGATGTCATTCCGGCCATTACTGTTGTAAGTGTGTTTCTCTAGACTGCAGTTTCAACTGCTCGTCGGCTATAGCATGCTTTAGGATGTGTAGAAGCTGTGTCTGTCGTGCAACTGTATTATAAGATAACAGCTACAACTGCTATAGGTTCTTATAGAGTAAACATTACCCCTGTCATAAGTCGATCTCCCTGCACTAGTTATGGCGGTTTTGTACAGTATACAATAAAAGCAATATATGGAATAGTTCACGGTATCAAATGAAAAGTCTGTTATGTGTGTTACTTTCTCTGTTTAAGTGCACAATCTGATATTACACTGATCCCTCGCTACAACACTACCATTGGGGTCCAAATAATTGAGGAGCGTTATAGACCATCAGCAGTTTAACCAAGGTGGAGTTGTACTGTGTATTGACTAACACAACAGTACATGCTCTGCCTACCTACACGATCTACGCTGCATGTATATCCAATTACAGCATTAAATATAACATCAGTTTAGTCGTGTTGGATAAATTCCTGGTATCAAATAGCACAATCCTATTTTAGAACCATTATTTTATGTGTTTCAGAGTGACAGATGTTTGTATGTTTCTTAGAACAGGGGAGAATGTGAGATTTTACCTCTGATAGAGCTTGACTAGTGTTGTAGATGAACTCATGGCAATATGAAACCAATATTAGCACGTGTGATATTCAGATTTCGATGAATGCAACTGTCATAACTTTCATGTGTATGATAACTTGATAATTTATCATGTGTAAATATTCCATTAGCGATGTACATATTAGGCCTGATAATGTTTGACTCTGTAACGTCATCAACTCGGGGCACTGTGCAGAGAGGCATCTTAAACATTCTCCACAAATCATGCAGTTCATTTTATCTGTCTGTAGACTATATTTAAGAAAATATTAAAAAAAATATTTTATTGACAGATAATGTTTTGGCATGACCTCACCAGACTGCCACTTCAGGACTGGTACACACATGTCCAAACTGATTTTATCTATGTATATACTTCCAAATATATTGGAGAAATTAATACAAAAATATTAACTGTTTTCTCATTTCATGTTATTTCGGGACCTTCAGGTTACTAAATAGGTGTTACCTTAAACCTATTAAGGACAAGATCAATAATTCATTATCAGAATTGTATTTGTATTGTGTATAAATGTATATCACTCGCTCATTATTGGACTGAGAGACTGTTAACATTGTGGTTAAATGGTCTGCAAGTATAATAAATGTTCCATCAACATGATCATTTTGTGTTTGTAGTTATTCATTATATAATCATTGGTGACTTTTGTCCTGTTATGTCTTTCCTCTACCAGTCCACCCATCACTCTCCACATCTGCTGACTATGTTCATATGTCCACGGGGTGGTCGGGTAGCCTAGTGGTTAAAGCGTTCACATGACACGCCGAAGACCCGTGTTCGATTCCCGACATGGGTACAATGTGTGAAGCCCATTTCTGGTGTCCCCCGTCGTGATATTGCTGGAATATTGCTAAAAGCGGTGTAAAACCATACTCACTTACTCACACATGGCTTGGTACAACTTTGAGGAGAAGGGTCAAAATGGCCACCAGTTTCAGTAAAAAAAAACATCATTACGGTGAGAGAGATTTATTTTTTTTAGCTTTCAACATTTCAACAATGTAACAAACTAGGCCAAGTGACCCCAGAATGTTTTGTCTAGAAGGGAATTTTGGTCTTTGTTCACATGTTGATTTCAAACTGATGTCAATGAGACTCTTGATAAAGTGTTGTTTTTCCATTTCATATTTTTCAAAGTGATCACCTGAATATAATTTTGTCCATGTTCACGTCAAATCCCTAAAATTGTTAGTTTCGTGTAGACCCCATTGGTTTGGCACTGCCAACTTGTCAACAGATATTTTCTAAATCTTTTCCTGTTTTTAGTCAAGGTGCTCACGTGATTGTATGCACTTCGTGATGTAAGACTCGTTTTATCTCAATATAGATCTTGATATCGATCAGATCGTCTTGACCGGGCGCCGCCATTTTGTTTAAAGCAAATGTAAGCGATACGAGAGGTGGAATCTGATTGGTCCAAAGGAGAGGCATAGCAGGGACATCACTCGTAATAGCCAGTGGCGGCGCTTCGATCGATCAAGCCCAGGAATTCCAGCCTAGTTCGGCAAGGGTGGAAACTGGACTTTTAAAGTCAGTTAATTCAGTTGCCCCGCGAAGATGATTGGGGGAGTGTTGGCATTGTCATCATATGTACACCATGCTTGTCATTTAAGTGACTACCCTTGGTGGTCCGAATGTTGGAGTTTATCATTGGGCCCAGAAAACATTGATTTTTTTGTATGGATGTACGTACCTCTGTAGGTCATCAGCAACCCATGGTTATTGTAAGAGGCGTATAACGGGATCGGATGGTCAGTTTCACTGACTTAATGGATGCATCTTATCATATCCCAGCTTGATTATTTACAGACCGCCGTCATGTAGCTGGACTATTGCTGAGTGCGGTGTTAAACAACAAACAAATAAAATTGATCTTTGTTGCTCATACTTTCAACCACTGGTTTGCCTGGCCCTGACCAATTATTATTTACATGCTCCAATGTACCTAGAGGGGGTGGTGGGGTAGCCTAGTGGTTCGTCACACCGAAGACCCCTGTTCGATTCCCGACATGGGTACAATGTGTGAAGCCCATTTCTGGTGTCCCTCGCCGTGATATTGCTGGAATGATGCTAAAAGCGGCGTAAAACCATACTCACTCACTAGTGCTCAGAGGATCATATAACCCCAGTACTTTCACATTAATCTGTTACGACCCTCGCATCACTACTCATTGTGGAACGTTCGTTGTATCACTATACGGAATTATCCCAATTATTAAAGTTTGTATCAAACAGAATATCGCCCTATAAAAATGATTAGCTCACGAATTACAATGATATGCTCCAATGTGTATATACATGTCGTCAACGAAGGGAGTTAGCTCCCTTAGAACAACACCGTATCACACCTGCGCGTGAAAGTGGTGAATTGTAAGCGGGTGATAGAAAGTTATCAGGATAACTGGACTTTGAACGTATCTGATCGAGATCACGTACACCCACTAGGACGTCTGACAGTCGTTCACGCTGTTGGCGTTCAGGAAGGACATTGTCAACGAGCACCTGCTAAGCTATGGGTGTCTACTCCTACGTCCGCTCGCTGTCTCGATGGCGCGGGGCAAGCCTGCTTCTTGCAATTCTAGGCATGATGAGACTCATGCAGGGGATTATAAGATACCGAAGAATGTTCAAGTTTTACAACAGTCTACCCGGCGAGCCCGACTTCCATTGGATATGGGGAAATTTGCATAAGGTTTGTCCCATATATTCATGGTTCTGTTCAAAGACGATTTTAAAGGAACCATTAAATTTCATGCCTCATATTAGAGAATCTCTACTTCACAGGGTTTATGCATTTGACCGAGTTGGTAACTCGTTGTTGATAATACCCTCTCGTCATTTCAACGACTGTGTTTTAAGAAATCGGTCAGTGATCTGGGTCAGGGACATGTATTTAAGGTCAGATTGAGTGTGACTTAGTACAATTTAAATAAGACGTGGTTTCATTTTGTTATCCTGTTAAGGAGAACTGTCGTCACACACACTGATATATGCACATCGGATCCTTCCTAACTCGAACCTTTGTTACTTGTTTTTTAGGGGTTAGGATAGCAAAGTAGGTACATCGTTCACTCGTCACGCCGAAGGTCCTGGTTCGATTCCTAACTTGGGTGTCCCTTTTTGGTGTCCCCCGCCGTGGTATTGGTGGGAAATTCCTAAAAGCGACCCCAAAAATAACGTGTAATATGTATCTATATGACATATTTCGGTATCTCCATCAAGCTCCGGGGTGAATAGGTCTTCAGTATCCCATTCTTGCCGACTATGCTTGTAGTAAGAGGCGACTAACAGGATCGAGTGGTAAGGCTCGCTGATTTGGTTGATGCATGTCATCGTATCCCAATTGCGCGGATCGATGCTCATGATGTCAGTCACTGGATTGTCTTGTTCAGACTCGATTATTTACAGACCGCTGGAATATTGCTGAGTGCGGCGTTAATTATAAACAATAAACAAACAAAACAGTATCACCATCCAATATTATAGTGTAGTATACAGAACGCGAGTTTGGTAGTACAGTATACTTGTAGAGAAACTGGGTCTGCCACACAAGCACGCAGTGTATGGTATGCGATAAGAGGAGACGTTCTGTTTAACTTGAACTCGTTCGCAGACACGTGCGTACACGTGACCTTATCGCCGTCTTACCTCGCACGTGATTAAAAGTACTGAGCATGCGCAGAGAGAAGAGAAGGTTTGCTACTACAATTTTAATATAAAAAGATCGGAAAAAAATATATTCCAAAAAATTATGAATAATAAATGTTTATAATAATAATAACAACTTATGTTTCCCGAAAGAGTGTATGTAAGTGTAAAAAAAGGCCAACTAATTCATTACCGAATACTAAATATACAAAGCGAATTTCGAGTAGATATGATTTTAGAATGGTATAAATCTGTTGAATAAGTTTTGTTGTGTCTACAAATGTGTTGTTATACAAATTTCTAAACCTATTATTCTGGACCATGTCCGCAGTATGTACTACGATGCCAAACCGAGCTTTATTTCCAAACTATTGCTGTTGCTCGTCCTGAACTCATCTGCGTCATTTAAAATATACAGGTCATGTTTCAATCTTTCTTTTTTTTGTAAATTGCACAGGAGACGAGTCTTTGTATTCATTGAGAAATTCGATATAATTATGCCCAGGAAAGCCATCGACAACACTTTTAATGTACATGCTCCACGTGTCAGGGATACTGCTTGCCCCTCGTCAGTCACCTGATGAAGATGCAATATGTAGCCCTGAAAACTTTTGTCCTGTTGAAAGGGCACGAGTGAGTGAGGTAGTAAGGTTCTACGCCGCTTTTGGCAATATTTATTTCAAGATACATTTTTTTGCTTCATATTGCTTCATAATTCTTGTCCAACTGAAAAACGTGAAAACATGATAATCAGTAGTTATGAACACTGTAGTTTGACAGTGAGTGAGTGAGTATGGATTTACGCCTCTTTTAGCAATTTTCCAGCAATATCACGGCAGGGGACCCTAGAAATGGGCTTCACACATTGTACCCATCTGGGGAATCGAACCCAGGCCTTCGGCGTGACGAGCGAACGCTTTAACCACTAGGCTACCCCACCGCCCCTGAAAGGACAAGAAGTAGCCCCGAAACAATGTGACCTGATGACGCTGTGTATGCATAATAACGAAGATGTTTCATAATATTCCAGGTCACAATGTACAGGAGACATTAGAAAGCTCATGTCGGATTCGTTCTCAATCCAGTCGAGAGACCTAGAAATCGTCTCTTCAAAATTCAAAACTATAGTAAACCTAAAACATGTCTTCTGCACAGTAGCTTCTCACATCACCCCGTGTGTCTCACGGCAGTAATGTGGTCGGGAGTCGTCAACTTGAGTGAGTCAGTGGGTTTGGTTTTACGCCGCTTTTAGCAATATTCAAGCAATATCACGGCGGGGGAAACCAGAAATGGGCTTCACACATTGTACCCATGTCGGGATTCGAACTCGGGTCTTCGGCGTGACGAGCGAACGCTTTAACCACAAGGCTACCAAACCGCCCCTCATCAACTTGAAGCTCAAGACTCGTGAAGATCCGGGGTAGAACAGGTCTTAAGCAACCCATGCATGTCTTAAGAGGTGACTATGCTTGTCATAAGAGGCAACTAACGGGATCGGGTGGTCAGGATCGCTGACTTGGTTGATGCAGGTCATCGTATCCCAATTGCGCGGATCGATGCTCATGATGTTACTCACTGGATTGTCTGGTTCAGACTTGATTATTTACAGACCGCCGTCATATATTTGGAAAAGTGCTGAGTGCGGCCTAAAAACAAATAAACAAACAAACAAACAGAAGCTACAGCTGTATCCCGAGTCATCCAGCATATATTCATCATTATTGTACTAGATGTGCAATCAACTGCATACTAAACATTTTAGCTTAAGAATGACTTTTCAACTACTCTAGTATATGAAGTACGAACTGTTGATACGCACGGGAATATGGCGCCCTGTCCACTCATAGTATATACCCAGTCCTTCCCGACCACACATTGATCACAACACTTACCATGATGTCAATATCATCTGAAATCACCATCGTACATCATGTGTGACTAATCAGTCATTGCCTTCATCAGATCTTTACTTCAATGCGATGCTGTGCGTGAAGATCTGACGACACTTCCATATATAGAAGACCGCCTCCGTGGTCTAGTGGTAGAGCGTCCGCCCGGAGAGCGGAAGGCCCGGGGTTCGATCCCCGGCCGCGTCATACCAAAAGACGTTAAAAAATGGTACTTGTTGTTACCCTGTCTGGCGCTCGGCATTAAGGGGCTAAAACAAGGACTGGTCGGCTCGGAGTCAGTATACTGTGTCTGAGTGGGGTATTCATGTTAAACTGCGGCATGGTATCTCAGTGAGCTAGCACCATAAATCGGCATCAGTCCGGAAGTGCAATAATCTTGGACGCGACGTGAAACCCCATTTCACCTCACCTCCATATATAGAAGGTCGCGTCAGCTGAACCCTGAGCGAACTTTGACCCAAGGATGTGTGATTTCTTGAGCCAATCAGATGTCAGATTTCAAAAACAATTCGGCTTCTTTGTTTTCATCATTAGGGAACTTCTATTTTTCACTCAGCAATATTCCAGCTGTATGAAGGCAGTCTGTAAACAATCGAGTCTGGACCAGACAATCCAGTGATTGATACCATGAGGATGCGATGACATGCATCAACAAATTTCAGGGAGCGTGACCACCCGATCCCGTTAGTCGCCTCTTACGACAAGCATAGTCACCCTTTCCAAGAATGGGTTGCTGGAGACCTATTCTACCCCAGATCTTCATGGGTCCAGACCTTCTGACCCATACCTCCTGATCTACGCTTACTAACTCGCACCTACTAACCCACGCTAACTAACCCTAGCCGACATACCCACACCTACTGTGCCACCTGATTTATGAACCCATGCTTATTTACCCATACCTACTAACCCCAGCCTAACTCACACGTAATAACCCCCACTTACTAACCCTCACGCATACTGACCCTCCCCTACTAACTCACACGTACTGACAGGGGTGACAGTAGTCCAGTCATTATATAATCCGTAATTCCCTGTGCACAATTATCTCCCTTTGTCGAGTCAGGATTTGCTGATTTTAAGTTTCATCTCCATACCTTTGTTTAAGAATTTCACAACAGTAGTAAATGTCTACCACATGCGTTAATTTCGACTTTCCCCGCACGTTATGCCGCCACACTGGTATAACTGAAACACCGTTGAAAGCGGCGTTGACCCCAACTCACTCACTCACTCACTCACTCACTCACTCACTACTAACAAGGGCTTTGTGTTAAGGTGAGGGGCAAGGCGACAGAGGTGCGGATGGAGTACATGGATGGTTTGATGAGGAAACACAAGTACTTCTATAGGCTGTGGCAAGGAGCGTTTAGACCTCTCATAATGTGCTGTCACCCCGATTCAGTAAAGCTCCTTCTAAAAACATCAGGTTAGTTCTCGTGGTGTAACGCTCCCCATTTCCCCCTTAGCTTTCCAGAGACACCGAGGAGCGGATGAAGTACATCAATGGGTTGATGCTGAAGCATCCACGTTTCTTCCGAATATGGGCTGGTCCATTCAGGCCTGTTGTGACTCTTCATCACCCAGACCTTGTCAAAGAGTTGCTGAAGACCTCAGGTTAGATGGGACGCTGCCTTATACGGGGCGGTGTGTGTGTGTGTGTGTGTGTGTGTGTGTGTGTGTGTGTGTGTGTGTGTGTGTGTGTGTGTGTGTGTGTGTGTGTGTGTGAGAGAGAGAGAGTGTGTGAGTGTGAGTGTGTGTGTGTGTGTGTGTGTGTGTGTGTGTGTGTGTAGTGTGTGTGTGTGTAGTGTGTGTGTGTGTGTGTGTGTGTGTGTGTGTGTGTGTGAGTGAGTGTGAGCGTGTGTGTGTGTGTGTGGGGGGGGGGGGGGGGGGGGGTTGTAATCGCTCTTCGGTACTGATTAAACATGATGACATTCAACAAGCACATGGACGGATGATGTTTGAACATGTTCTCTTCAGCAACCTAATTAAATACAAACACTCCAACGTGTATTGGTATCGGTCATTATTAGGTGGGGCCCCACACACCCAAAATTCACATAGTTAATGGACGTTCATACCTAGGTGTCCAAGCAAGTATGTATAGAAACCTGCTGTACCATAACACGTACAGACTATAGCAGATATATACAATTATCGTTATTCGTTGAAGAATCTGGCCTTCTGATTGGCGAGTGTCTTATATTTAAGAGTGCGTGAGTGAGTACGGTTTTACGCCGCTTTTAGCAATATTCCAGCAATATCACGGCGGGGACACCAGAAATGGGCTTCACACATTGTACCCATGTCGGAATCGAACCCGGGTCTTCGGCGTGACGAGCGAACGCTTTAACCACAAGGCTACCCGACCGCCCTTATATTTAAGAAATAAATGACGAGTGTAAGTTGTTTATCGCTCAATATAAGATAGCTACGCGATAAATCGCAAGAACAATGAAGAGCGAAGCGTGGTTTATTTAGGAGATAAAACATTGTTCTATCATGACGTCATTTGTGGGAGTTGTTTATCGTTCAATAAAACGCTGCGCCCCTCATGGTTTATTCACCCTGCGGTGTTTTTTTGTACGATAAACAACTCCCACTCGTCGTATATTTCTTATATAAGATACTAACATTGTGTACAGCCTCATAATAGGGCGTTAATAAAATGTACACGCTTTAAAAATATTTACCCGTATTTAAATAATGACGATTCCCTGATTATAGTCCGACCTCGGCAAGTCGGACAAGTCCATTTTATTAACAGGGGGGTTACGTTTGGTCTTTCCCGGATATTTTCACAATCTTCACGTCGACTATCTGTACCTTGTCTCCCAATACCTATTTAAGAAATAAATGACGAGTAAAAGTTGTTTATCGTACAAGAAAACACTGCAGAGAGAATAAACCATGAGGGGCGCATGTGATTTATAGTACGAAGAACAACTACTACGAGTCGTGTTTTTCTTATAAGAGATATCAACATTATGTAGAGCCTCTTTAAAAATGTAAATAAAAACATTTACCCGTATTTATATAATGATGACTCCCTGAATAGAATCCGACGCGGCAATGTCCATTTAATGAACAGGGGGGTAAAGTTTGGTATTTCCCGGATATCCTCACAATTTTCACGTTGATTGTCTGTACCTTTTCACCCGTGGCGATTGTCATATCTCTCTCACTTTTGAAGCTTTCGTTCGGCCACTGCATTTATCTACGTTGCCCAGCTACATCTATGGGGAACAACTCACTTGACACTTCCCCCTAAAAAATAACGTCGTCCAATATGTGACGTCATCAAGTTGCGAACGCATATTCGAATCTCCAGAAATGACGTCATGATGGAACAATGTTTTATCGTGAAATAAACCACGCTTCGTTCTTCATTGTTCTTTATAGCGATTTGTCGCGTTGCTGTCTTATATAAACACATACGAGTCGCTTGACCGACCTTTACGGACATGATGACGTCACTTGCTTGTCACGTCAGAATTGATCCTGTTTGCACTTCAAGTTGTCATACTGAAAGTCCAATGGCAGTCACAAGCTAAATCCTGTTGTCACACACAAACATATCAAAGAAACTATATTTCTTGTCACTTGTGAACCCGTAAGGATAAATTCATTACATGTGTCACACGGGATTGAACGTTCGTATACACCCCGTTTTTTTGACTGATGAACCTTCACATTCGTGACCAACTCGTGTTATTCCGGGACAAGCCGAATAGCAGGTTACGGAAGTGGGCGAGTGGTGACGAATGGAACCTTCAGTGTCGTGATCTTCGAGCCATTCACCTCGTACATGCTCATGATGTCAATCACTTGATTGTCGGGTCCACAGTCGATTATTTGTAACCCGCCGTCATGCAGCTGGAATATTGCTGAGTGCGGCGTTAAACAACAAAAACAAACAGCTCGAACAAACCCTTACACCCTACAAGAGACACGTAACTCACATTATCGTGGAACGGGTACACAGATTTCAATGGTATTTCCAGAACCCAAGCCTATGGCCGGAGCCTACCAGTTTGCAGTGCCCTGGCTTGGGGAAGGGTTGCTGATAGCCAGTGGTCAGCGCTGGGCGCGTTCCAGGAGGCTGCTGACCCCAGCCTTCCACTTCGACATCCTCAAGCCATACATGGAGGTGTACAACAAAGCGGCGGACATATTGCTGGTGAGGACGTATAGATGTAGTGCTGGTGAGGACGTACAGATGTAGTGCTGGAGAGGACGTATAGATGTAGTACTGGTGAGGACGTATAGATGTAGTGCTGGTGAGGACGTATAGATGTAGTGCTGGTGAGGACGTATAAATGTAGTGCTGGTGATGAAGTACAGATGTAGTGCTGGTGAGGACGTATAGATGTAGTGCTGGTGAGGACGTATAGATGTAGTGCTGGTGAGGACGTATAGGTGTAGTTCTGGAGAGAACGTATAGATGTAGTGCTGGTGAGGACGTATAGATGTAGTGCTGGTGAGGACGTATAGGTGTAGTGCTGGTGAGGACGTATAGATGTAGTGCTGGTGAGGACGTATAGGTGTAGTGCTGGTGAGGACGTATAGATGTAGTTCTGGAGAGAACGTATAGATGTAGTGCTGGTGAGGACGTATAGATGTAGTGCTGGTGAGGACGTATAGGTGTAGTTCTGGAGAGAACGTATAGATGTAGTGCTGGTGAGGACGTATAGATGTAGTGCTGGTGAGGACGTATAGATGTAGTGCTGGTGAGGACGTATAGATGTAGTACTGGTGATGGAGTATAGCTGTAGTGCTGGTGAGGACGTATAGATGTAGTGCTGGTGAGGACGTATAGATGTAGTGCTGGTGAGGGCGTATAGATGTAGTGCTGGTGATGGAGTATAGATGTAGTGCTGGTGATGGAGTATAGATGTAGTGCTGGTGATGGAGTATAGATGTAGTGCTGGTGATGGAGTATAGATGTAGTGCTGGTGATGGAGTATAGATGAAGTTCTGGTGAGGACGTATAGATGTAGTGCTGGTGATGGAGTATTGATGTAGTTCTGGTGAATGAGTATAGATGTAGTGCTGGTGATGGAGTATAGATGTAGTGCTGGTGATGGAGTATAGATGTAGTGCTGGTGAGGACGTATAGATGTAGTGCTGGTGAGGACGTATAGATGTAGTGCTGGTGATGGAGTATAGATGTAGTGCTGGTAAGGACGTATAGATGTAGTGCTGGTGAGGACGTATAGATGAAGTGCTGGTGAGGACGTATAGATGTAGTGCTGGTGATGGAGTATAGATGTAGTACTGGTGAGGACGTATAGATGTAGTGCTGGTGAGGACGTATAGATGTAGTGCTGGTGAGGACGTATAAATGTAGTGCTGGTGAGGACGTATAGATGAAGTGCTGGTGAGGACGTATAGATGTAGTGCTGGTGAGGACGTATAGATGTAGTACTGGTGAGGACGTATAGATGTAGTGCTGGTGAGGACGTATAGATGTAGTGCTGGTGATGGAGTATAGATGTAGTACTGGTGAGGACGTATAGATGAAGTGCTGGTGAGGACGTATAGATGTAGTGCTGGTGATGGAGTATAGATGTAGTACTGGTGAGGACGTATAGATGTAGTGCTGGTGAGGACGTATAGATGTAGTGCTGGTGAGGACGTATAGATGTAGTGCTGGTGAGGGCGTATAGATGTAGTGCTGGTGAGGACATATAGATGTAGTGCTGGTGAGGACGTATAGATGTAGTGCTGGTGATGGAGTATAGATGTAGTGCTGATGAGGACGTATAGATGTAGTGCTGGTGATGGAGTATAGATGTAGTGCTGGTGAGGACGTATAGATGTAGTGCTGGTAAGGACGTATAGATGTAGTGCTGGTGAGGACGTATAGATGTAGTGCTGGTGATGGAGTATAGATGTAGTGCTGATGAGGACGTATAGATGTAGTGCTGGTGAGGACGTATAGATGTAGCGCTGGTGAGGACGTATAGATGTAGTGCTGGTGAGGACGTATAGATGTAGTGCTGGTGAGGACGTATAGATGTAGTGCTGGTGAGGACGTATAGATGTAGTGCTGGTGATGGAGTATAGATGTAGTACTGGTGAGGACGTATAGATGAAGTGCTGGTGAGGACGTACAGATGTAGTGCTGGTGAGGACGTATAGATGTAGTGCTGGTGAGGAAGTACAGATGTAGTGCTGGTGAGGACGTATAGATGTAGTGCTGGTGAGGACGTATAGATGTAGTGCTGGTGAGGACGTATAGATGTAGTGCTGGTGAGGACGTATAGATGTAGTGCTGGTGAGGACATATAGATGTAGTGCTGGTGAGGACGTATAGATGTAGTGCTGGTGATGGAGTATAGATGTAGTGCTGGTGAGGACGTATAGATGTAGTACTGGTGAGGACGTATAGATGAAGTGCTGGTGAGGACGTACAGATGTAGTGCTGGTGAGGACGTATAGATGTAGTGCTGGTGAGGACATATAGATGTAGTGCTGGTGATGGAGTATAGATGTAGTGCTGGTGAGGACGTATAGATGTAGTGCTGGTGATGGAGCATAGATGTAGTGCTGGTGAGGACGTATAGATGTAGTGCTGGTAAGGACGTATAGATGTAGTGCTGGTAAGGACGTACAGATGTAGTGCTGGTGAGGACGTATAGATGTAGTGCTGGTGGGGACGTATAGATGTAGTGCTGGTGGGGACGTATAGATGTAGTGCTGGTGAGGACGTATAGATGTAGTGCTGGTAAGGACGTACAGATGTAGTGCTGGTGAGGACGTATAGCTGTAGTGCTTGTGAGGACGTATAGATGTAGTGCTGGTGAGGACGTATAGATGTAGTGCTGGTGGGGACGTACAGATGTAGTGCTGGTGAGGACGTATAGATGTAGTGCTGGTGAGGAAGTACATATGTAGTGCTGGTGAGGACGTATAGATGTAGTGCTGGTGAGGAAGTACAGTTGTAGTGCTGGTGAGGACGTATAGATGTAGTGCTGGTGAGGACGTACAGGTGTAGTGCTGGTGATGGAGTATAGATGTAGTGCTGGTGATGGAGTATAGATGTAGTGCTGGTGAGGACGTATAGATGTAGTGCTGGTGAGGACGTACAGATGTAGTGCTGGTGATGGAGTATAGATGTAGTGCTGGTGAGGACGTATAGATGTAGCGCTGGTGATAAGTAAAGGTTCTAATGCTGGTGATGGATTATAGGATTTAATGTCAGTGAAGGAGTGCAGGATTTAGTATATTCTTCAGCGTGAAAGACTGAGTTTTCTGAAGTTGAGGAAAGTGATATTTTTTATTGAAGTGAACATAACACTTGATATTACTGCAATGAACATAACACTTTGACTGAACTATTGTCATACAAGAGTTACCTTCCTTCATATCAATCACTAGATTGTCTGGTCCAGACTCGATTATTTACAGACCGCCGCAAAAAAGCTGGAATATTACTGTGTGCGGTGTTAAACAACAAACCAACCATCCAACAACCAACCCTTCAAATTGTCTCCCTTTATCGCGAGTGTCTAGCCCGTACACAAACTGTTGACGTCCGTTTTAAGTTAGTTCCACATTGACAAGGCAAAATAATGACACATGGTCAGTTATGGAGTAAATGTCGCTTCTCGCCGTTTGTTATTCTCTCGAAAATGTTTCGTTATAAACTATAAATTTCTCATTTGACTCGTCAATCGAGATTGATCTTTTCGCAGTGCGCCACTTTTGTTACTTGACCAGCGTCTATTCTTTCTCTTCCAACAGCGCTCACGTAGCTTTCAATGATTTTTTAAAAGTCGATTTTGTATATTATCATATCCAAATGTATAATGAAACATTTCTTCACGCTACTTATTAGACAGCTATAGTGGCGGCGTTAAACAACAAACAAACAAACAAACAAACCAACCTATCTGCCCCCACCAGCCACGTGTTTCCCTTTTAGCATACCTTTTTTTCTCAGCTGCAGTTCCGTGTTATCATTGAATGTTGTTGAGTAGACATGTATAATTAAGTGAAGCTTTTCTTATTTGCAGGGGAAAATAGCGCGTTACGAGGAGAAGGGCGAGAGTTTTGAGGTGTTCGGCCATATCAGTCTCTGCACGTTGGACGTCATCCTGAAATGTGCCATGTCATTCGACGACAATATACAGATGAAAGGGTGGGTACATATGACAATATACAGAGGAAAGGGTGGTACATGGTGACAATATACAGACGAAAGGGTTGTACATGGTGACAATATACAGATAAAAAGGGTTGTATATATGACAATATACAGACGAAAGGGTGGTACATGGTGACAATAAACAGATGAAAGGGTGGTACATGTTGACAATATACAGATGAAAGGGTGGTACATATGACAATATACAGATGAAAGGGTGGTACATGGTGACAATATACAGATGAAAGGGTGGTACATGGTGACAATATACAGACGAAAGGGTTGTATATATGACAATATACAGATGAAAGGGTGGTACATGGTGACAAGATACAGATGAAAGGGTTGTATATATGACAATATACAGATGAAAGGGTGGTACATGGTGACAATATACAGATGAAAGGGTGGTACATGGTGACAATATACAGATAAAAGGGTGGTACATGGGGACAATATACAGACGAAATGGTTGTATATATGACAATATACAGATGAAAGGGTGTTACATGGTGACAATATACAGACGAAAGGGTTGTATATATGACAATATACAGATGAAAGGGTGGTGCATGGTGACAGTATACAGATGAAAGGGTTGTACATGGTGACAATATACAGACGAAAGGGTGGTACATGTTGACAATATACAGATGAAAGGGTGGTACATGGGGACAATATACAGATGAAAGGGTGGTACATGGTGACAATATACAGATGAAAGGGTGGTACATGGTGACAATATACAGATGAAAGGGTGGTGCATGGTGACAATATACAGATGAAAGGGTGGTACATGGTGACAAGATACAGATGAAAGGGTGGTACATGGTGACAATATACAGATGAAAGGGTGGTACATGGTGACAATATACAGATGAAAGGGTGGTACATGGTGACAATATACAGATGAAAGGGTGGTACATGGTGACAAGATACAGAGGAAAGGGTTGTATATATGACAATATACAGATGAAAGGGTGGTACATGGTGACAATATACAGATGAAAGGGTGGTACATGGTGACAATATACAGATGAAAGGGTGGTACATGTTGACAATATACAGATGAAAGGGTTGTATATATGACAATATACAGATAAAAGGGTGGTACATGGTGACAATATACAGATGAAAGGGTGGTACATATGACAATATACAGATGAAAGGGTGGTACATGGTGACAATATACAGATGAAAGGGTGGTACATGGTGACAATATACAGATGAACGGGTGGTACATGGTGACAATATACAGATGAAAGGGTGGTGCATGGTGACAATATACAGAGGAAAGGGTGGTACATGGGGACAATATACAGATGAAAGGGTGGTACATGTTGACAATATACAGATGAAAGGGTGGTACATATGACAATATACAGATGAAAGGGTGGTACATGGTGACAATATACAGATGAAAGGGTTGTACATGGTGACAATATACAGATGAAAGGATGGTACATGGTGACAGTATACAGATGAAAGGATGGTACATGGGGACAATATTCAGATGAAAGGATGGTACATGGTGACAATATACAGATGAAAGGATGGTACATGGGGACAATATACAGATGAAAGGGTGGTACACATGACAATATACAGATGAAAGGGTGGTACATGGGGACAATATACAGATGAAAGGGTTGTATATATGACAATATACAGATGAAAGGGTGGTACATGGTGACAATATACAGATGAAAGGGTTGTACATGGTGACAATATACAGATGAAAGGATGGTACATGGTGACAATATACAGACGAAAGGGTTGTATATATGACAATATACAGATGAAAGGATGGTACATGGTGACAATATACAGATGAAAGGGTTGTATATATGACAATATACAGATGAAAGGGTTGTACATGGTGACAATATACAGATGAAAGGGTTGTACATGGGGTCAATATTCAGATGAAAGGATGGTACATGGTGACAATATACAGATGAAAGGATGGTACATGGGGACAATATACAGATGAAAGGGTGGTACATGGGGACAATATACAGATGAAAGGGTGGTATAAGGTGACAATATACAGATGAAAGGGTGGTACATGGTGACAATATACAGATGAAAGGGTGGTACACATGACAATATACAGATGAAAGGGTGGTACATGGGGACAATATACAGACGAAAGGGTTGTACATGGTGACAATATACAGATGAAAGGGTGGTACACATGACAATATACAGATGAAAGGGTGGTACATGGGGACAATATACAGATGAAAGGGTTGTATATATGACAATATACAGATGAAAGGGTGGTACATGGTGACAATATACAGATGAAAGGGTTGTACATGGTGACAATATACAGATGAAAGGATGGTACATGGTGACAATATACAGACGAAAGGGTTGTATATATGACAATATACAGATGAAAGGATGGTACATGGTGACAATATACAGATGAAAGGGTTGTATATATGACAATATACAGATGAAAGGGTTGTACATGGTGACAATATACAGATGAAAGGGTTGTACATGGGGACAATATTCAGATGAAAGGATGGTACATGGTGACAATATACAGATGAAAGGATGGTACATGGGGACAATATACAGATGAAAGGGTGGTACATGGGGACAATATACAGATGAAAGGGTGGTACATGGTGACAATATACAGAGGAAAGGGTGGTACATGGGGACAACATACAGATGAAAGGGTGGTACACATGACAATATACAGATGAAAGGGTGGTACATGGGGACAATATACAGACGAAAGGGTTGTACATGGTGACAATATACAGATGAAAGGGTGGTACACATGACAATATACAGATGAAAGGGTGGTACATGGGGACAATATACAGATGAAAGGGTGGTACACATGACAATATACAGATGAAAGGGTTGTACATGGTGACAGTATACAGATGAAAGGGTGGTGCATGGTGACAATATACAGACGAAAGGGTGGTACATGGTGACAATATACAGATGAAAGGGTTGTACATGGTGACAGTATACAGACGAAAGGGTTGTACATGGTGACAATATACAGATGAAAGGGTGGTACATGGTGACAATATACAGATGAAAGGGTGGTGCATGGTGACAATATACAGACGAAAGGGTTGTATATATGACAATATACAGATGAAAGGGTGGTGCATGGTGACAATATACAGATGAAAGGGCAATTGGATGGGTAAGGGGTGAATCAGTTCTGCCTTGTATGTCAAAACTATGTCTTAAACAGCTACATACTATTAGTTTAAGTTCATTTCCTTCCCGACATTGTCATGGACAGGTCCTTTGTTGTCACGGCTTCTCGAGAGCCGACTCTAGCAAGGATCTGGTTGTCACAGTGTTCGACCTTGCTGACTGTGTGTCCTCTTGTCCCCGTGTCCGGGGTCACTGCTCACGGTTCCAGCTACTTGTTTGCCTGGTGAAGTCCGACCCAGTCCTCAAGGCTGAAACATTGCTGACTGTGGCATGAAACAACAACCACTAACTTGCACCTGATACTACCGTCACCGGATGCTGATATTATCATCTTACTTCTTTGCTTCCAGGGAAAGTCATCCATACGTCGTCGCCGTAAATGAGCTGTCGGAGATGTGGTTCGAAAGAGGAAGGTTTGCAATGCGTTATAGGAATTATCCTGTGTTGATACTACTTTCTGTGACGTAACATAACTGTTAATACGAGGTCACGTAACTGTTAACATGAGGCACGTGAATTAACATGAGGACACGTAACTGTTAACATGAGGACACGTAACTGTTAACATGAGGACACGTAACTGTTAACATGAGGACAGGTAACTGTTAACACGAGGACACGTAACTGTTAACATGAGGACAGGTAACTGTTAACATGAGGACACGTAACTGTTAACACGAGGACACTTAACTTAACATGAGGACACATAACTGTTAACACGGGGACATGTTACTGTTAACACGAGGACACGTAACTGTTAACATGAGGACAGGTAACTGTTAACATGAGGACACGTAACTGTTAACATGAGGACACTTAACTTAACATGAGGACACGTAACTGTTACCACGGGGACATGTTACTGTTAACACGAGGACACGTAACTGTTAACATGAGGACACGTAACTGCTAACATGAGGACAGGTAACTGTTAACATGAGGACAGGAAACTGTTAACACGAGGACACGTAACTGTTAACAATAGGACAGGAAACTGTTACCACGAAGACACGTAGCTGTTGACATTGAGGACACGTAACTGTTAACATGAGGACACCTAGCTGTTATCATGAGGACACGTAAATGTTAACATGAGGACACGTAACTGTTAACATGAGGACAGGTAACTGTTAACATGAGGACAGGTAACTGTTAACACGAGGACACGTAACTGTTAACAATAGGACAGGTTACTGTTACCACGAAGACACGTAGCTGTTGACATTGAGGACACGTAACTGTTAACATGAGGACACGTAGCTGTTATCATGAGGACACGTAAATGTTAACATGAGGACACGTAACTGTTAACATGAGGACACTTAACTATTAACATGAGGACACATAACTGTTAACATTGGGACACGTTAGTGTTAACATGAGGACATGTAACTGTTAACACGAAGACACGTAACTGTTAACACGAAGACACGTAACTGTTAACACGAAGACATGTAACTGTTAACACGAAGACATGTAACTGTTAACACGAAAACACGTAACTGTTAACATGAAGACACGTAACTGTTAACACGAAGACACGTAACTGTTACCACGAAGACACGTAACTATTAACATGCTAGCCCTGTGGCTTCTGTTCTGGCAGGAACCCCCTCCTGTACAACGACTTCGTCTTCAGCTGCACCAAGATGGGTCGCAGGTTCAAGCAGCAGTGCGACTTCGTCCACTCCATATCGGAGAACCTCATCAAGAAGAGACGCGAGACCCTGGTAAGTGTTCATATCCCGCTGTGATTGTTTGATAAACAGGAGGATAACTCTGTCTCGTGTCACGCCGCATTATCATTAGCGCTGCGATGTTGAAAAACTTGTTGATCTGGGCTCTGTTCTTTGCAAAGCTACATGGTGCTATAACTTACAATACTGTTTTGTTTCTTTATTTGACGCCTCAAACAGCGATAGTCCATCTGTACGATGGAGGCACCATCGAGTCTGGATCAGACAATCCAGTGATCGATATTATGGACGAGCGAGTGAGTGAGTTGGGCTTAACGTCGCTTTTAACAGTATTCCAGTTATATCACGGCGTGTCAGCCTAATGTTGGAGGAAAGCACGAAGTGATGCAGGTCTCAGACGTTTACCACTTCGGTGTAACCCACGAGCACGGGTATGGTGCCGACAAACCTAGAAACATAATCGGGGCGAACTGGGATTCGAACCCACAATCATAGGTTTCTGGCGTGCCCAAGGGCCGCAACTCTGCACAGCGAATCGCGGCGCTTTAGACGACTGGGCCACCCGTGCCCCCTATTATGGACGATCCATACTGTCGGGGAACGACACACAATCAACCCCTCCCTACCCCACCCTTCCATACCCCACCTTACCCTGCCCTACCCCATCCTACCCCATCCTACCCCACCCTACCCTGCCCCACCCTACCCCACCCTACCCTGCCCCATCCCTCCCTGCCCCACCCTACCCTGCCCCACCCCTCCCTACCCTACCCTGCCCCACCCTACCCTACCCCTCCCTACCCTGCCCTACCCTACCCTGCCCCACCCCTCCCTACCCTACCCTACCCTGCCCCACCCCTCCCTACCCTACCCTACCCTACCCTACCCCTCCCTACCCTACCCCTCCCTACCCTACCCCTCCCTACCCTACCCTACCCTACCCCTCCCTACCCTACCCTACCCTACCCTACCCCACCCTACCCTACCCCTCCCTACCCTACCCTACCCTACCCTGCCCCTCCCTACCCTACCCTACCCTACCCCACCCTACCCCACCCCTCCCTACCCTACCCTACCCTACCCTACCCCTCCCTACCCTACCCTACCCTACCCTACCCCACCCTACCCTACCCCTCCCTACCCTACCCTACCCTACCCTGCCCCACCCCTCCCTACCCCACCCTACCCTGCCCCATCCTACCCTACCCTGCCCCACCCCTCCCTACCCCACCCTACCCTGCCCCATCCTATCCTACCCTACCCTGCCCCACCCTACCCCACCCTACCCTACCCTACCCCACCCTACCCTGCCCCACCCCCCCCTACCCCACCCTACCCTGCCCCACCCTACCCCACCCCACCCTACCCTACCCTACCCCACCCTACCCTACCCCACCCTGCCCCACCCCTCCCTACCCCACCCTACCCTGCCCCATCCTACCCTACCCTGCCCCACCCCTCCCTACCCCACCCTACCCTGCCCCACCCTACCCCACCCTACCCTACCCCACCCTACCCCACCCCACCCTACCCTACCCCACCCTACCCCACCCCTCCCTACCCCACCCCACCCTACCCTACCCCACCCTGCCCCACCCCTCCCTACCCCACCCTACCCTGCCCCATCCTACCCCACCCTACCCTGCCCCACCCCTCCCTACCCCACCCTACCCTGCCCCATCCTACCCTACCCTGCCCCACCCCTCCCTACCCCACCCTACCCTGCCCCATCCTACCCTACCCTGCCCAACCCTACCCCACCCTACCCTGCCCCACCCTACCCTGCCCCACCCCACCCTACCCCACCCTACCCTGCCAGACCCTACCCTACCCCACCCCTCCCTACCCTGCCCCACCCGTGAAGTGACCTCTTACGACCAGCACAGGTTCGGGATAGCAAACAAGTTACTGAGGATGAGAAAGATAACGGTGGAAACAGTAGGTAATAACCTGGCCATGAGTCACTACCTTCCTCATCTACTTGGTGGACTTTGACATGGCCCAGGATAGCAGTCATATCATGGCCGACAACTGGATGGAGGAAATCTTCAAGTGACGCAGCACGCAAGCAGTTGCTAGGACTAATGCCGGTTTTATAGTGCCAACCCACTGAGATACCATGGCACAGTTTAACATGAATACCCCACTCAGACACAGTATACTGACTCCGAGCCGACCAGTCCTTGTTTTAGCCCTTAATGCCGAGAGCCAGGCAGGGTAATGACAACTTAAACAACTTTTCGTATGACACGTCCAGGGGATCGAACCACCGAACTCTCCGGACAGACGCTCTATCCACTACACCACGGAGGCGGTCTCTGGACAGACGCTCTATCCACTACACCACGGAGGCGGTCTCTGGACAGACGCTCTATCCACTACACCACGGAGGCGGTCTCCGGACAGACGCTCTATCCACTACACCACGGAGGCGGTCTCCGGACAGACACTCTATCCACTACACCACGGAGGCGGTCTCCGGACAGACACTCTATCCACTACACCACGGAGGCGGTCTCCGGACAGACGCTCTATCCACTACAACACGGAGGCGGTCTCCGGACAGACGCTCTATCCACTACACCACGGAGGCGGTCTCCGGACAGACGCTCTATGCACTACACCACGGAGGCGGTCTCCGGACAGACGCTCTATCCACTACACCACGGAGGCGGTCTCCGGACAGACGCTCTATCCACTACACCACTGAGGCGGTCCCACTAGAGTTTGAAGGCAGCTCGGTGACTACTCAGCATTCACGTTCTTAACAGAGGTCAAAGTGTTTTGAAAGAGAGTGAGACAGCAATACTATTTTGTTGTTAAAATCATTTCTCTATATTATCTTTGTGAACTGATTGTGTCCGCTTTTATAAACATTACACAAACAGTTTCTGCGAGTTTCAGGACAGAGAGGGACCTGCAAATAAGAAATACCTGGACTTCCTCGACGTCCTGCTCACCGCCAGGGACGACGCCGGGGACGGCCTTACCTCCATGGAGATCAGGAACGAAGTCGACACATTTCTGTTTGAAGGTGAGGGTCGCTAGACACTTCGTCTCAAGCTGTAGTAGTTGGCGGAACTAGCCGAGAGAATCCGAATGGGTTACTAGCTGGATGAGGCAGTGTTATCCCACCTGCTCAATAATATTGCAGTTATCAAATATCGAAGGAAGGTGAGCTACCTTCCCTCGTTGTTATACCTTATCTTTTAACACAGAATAATAATCTTTTATTCTTTCCTTTTAGGATAGTTTATGTTTGCAGACTTGACAATAATGTTATCCCAAATATATGGTCATCGGATTATTTATCTTAACACGTGGGTTTTTCAAGGCCATGACACTACAGCCAGCGCCATCTCGTGGATCCTGTACTCGCTCGCCACACACGCTGACATTCAGGACAAGGCGCAGGCGGAAGTCGACGCCATCTTGGACGGGAAGGACTCAGAAGTTATAGATTGGTGAGGAATCGTTTAAAAGAGCTTCGAGAGTCTCGATGCGTAACTGATGAGCGTGCCTTGGACAGTATGTAATCTGGAGACGGTCTACATCCTTTTTGTACTGAGAGGAAAGCATGGGGGTTTGTGGTTGAAGGGTTCATTCGTCTCGCGGAAGAATCAGGTCGAGTCCACACAAGAGAACAAAGAACCCTTTCGGGAGAATATTTCAAGAATGTTCCGTAACTCTCTTTTCCACAATTTATAATAATATTCTTTAAATCCCATGAACTGTGAAACCCGTTAATCCGAATTGCAGGGGGCGGGGGAGCCTAGTGGTTAGTGTGTTCGCTCATCACGCCGAAGATCCGGGTTCCATTCCCCACATGGGTACAGTGTGTGAAGCCCATTTCTGTTATCCGCCGCCGTGATATTGCTGTAATATTCCTTTAAGCGGCATAAAACAATACTCACTCACTCGCTAATTCAGATTGCACCAAACCCCCCGAAAAATCGTCTGAATCATCATATTTTAAAATTAACGTATCGTAGATCGCTGTCCTTTAGTATGTAGATGTTCACAGCAAACCTCCTCTGGAAATGAGACTAACGTGGTCGGGCCATCGGGGTTTCACTGTAATAAACCATCTGACTTATGCATCCTAAACCCAATTCAGCCATCATGTAACAATATACTTCAAACTGTTGAGTTCCCTTGAACTTGTGCAATTTCACTAAGATCAGATCTTAGTTCTCGCTACCAATAAACAATCAAACAGCAGTAGCGAGAACTAAGATCCTTGGTCTTCAGCAACCCATGCTTGGCATAAGAGGCGACTATACTTGTCGTAAGAGGCGACTAACGGGATCGGGTGATCAGGTTCGCTGACTTGGATCGATGCTCATGATGTCAATCACTGGATTGTCTCTTCCAGACTCGATTATTTACAGACCGCCGTCATATACCTGGAATATTGCTGAGTGCGGCGTTAATAAACAACAAACAAATAAATGATGTTAATGAGACTGGGAACTTGTAGGAGCGAACTGCCGGAGTTGTCCTATCTGGCCTGCGTCATCAAGGAGGGCATGCGACTCCACTGCCCAGTCCCCTTCATCCAGCGTCAACTCACCCAGCCCACCACCATCGACGGCACCACCCTCCCCAAGGACACCGTGTGCACCGTGCACCTCCTCAACCTCCACCACAACCCGGAAGTGTGGGAGGACCCGTGGGAGTTCAAGCCTGAACGCTTCTTCCCTGAAAATATGAAGGACAAGGACAACTATGCCTTTGTGCCCTTCTCAGCTGGTCCCAGGTGAGTGGGTTGTTTGTTTGTTTGTTTGTTGTTTAACGCCGCACTCGGCAATATTCCAGCTATATGACGGCGGTCTGTAAATAATCGAGTCTGGACCAGACAATCAGGTGATTGACATCATGAGCATCGATCCACGCAATTGGGATACGATGACATGCATCAACTGACCACCCGATCCCGTTAGTCGTCTCTTACGACAAGCATAGTTACCTTTTACGGCAGGCATGGGTTGCTGGTTGTGCACTGGGGGCGATACTTTCGAGGACCTTCTTATGTCCTCAGGCGCGTTATAGCAAATAATCCGTACCTTCAATACAATACCACACCAAAACCCAAGCCTATATCTAAAGACGGACCCATGGCGGTGTACGGGGATGCCCCCCCCCCCCCCCCCTCTCCCGATCTCCTCTCCTATCAGACACCAGCATCCGGATCCGCCTCTAGGTACACTTAACCAATACGACGCCGTTCGTCTCGCCTGTAACCTTTTCGCCGTAGGGGGCAACTAACCAGCTCGGGCGATCAGGGGTCCGTTCCTCAAAGCCATCGTAGCGCTGAGGTTACTTTGACTCCCATACTTTGACATAGACGTACGACTTACAACTGGCGTTGCGCTACGATGCCTTTGTGGAATGGAGCCCTGGCTCGGTGACGTAGCATCCTGACACCAATCACCGGTTTGTCTAGTCCTGACGCGATGAGTGAGTCAGTGAGTATGGTTTTACGCCGCTTTTAGCAATAAATATTTCGGCAATATCACGGCGGGGAACACCAGAAATGGGCTTCACACATTGTACCCATGTCGGGAATCGAACCCTGGTCTTCGGCGTGACGAGCGAACGCTTTAACCACTAGGCTACCCGACCGCCGCCCCCCCCCCCCCCCCCCCCCCCCCCCCCCCGACGCGATGAGGTGATGTGAAGTGGAGTTTAAATCGCGTTCAAGATAATTTCATGCACGGGTGTGTGTGGCTGCTTGTACTTGTCTGAACTTATGCCGGTTGTATCTTATAGTGCTAGTTAACTGAGATACCATACCACAGGATTACCCAGTGTACAGACTGGTATCTTTCATGTCTTTTAGTATAACGCGGCGAGGGGATCGAACCACCCACCTGCCAGCACACTAGAATAAGTACATGCCGTTGTCATATAGATGGAGTTTTGTGAGGAATTTGACGTTAACCACTTATTTTTCTGACCCATATCTGCTGAAAAGTGAAGGTCGTGCGAGAAATTCGGTTGCGCGTCACTTGATCTGCCTCTTACTATGAAATTGCGCGGTGATGTAGAATATTACAATTCCTATCTTAGGGTGAAAAATTAATTGCAAATATAAGATTAGTTTGAAGAGCAGACACTGCAAAGTGTTGTCCAACTTTTTGCCGTGCGTTCAAAAACAGACCTTTTGCCGCACCGACACTTTGACAGCTTTATGTTTACCTGTAATTAGTTAGAAATGCAGATAAATACCACCGGTTGTGCTTGATGTTGTGTCAGTCATGGCGTCACGCAGACCAGAAACTTCGACAATTCCTGTTGCGTTTATCAAATCGTTGTAATGTATCTCTTTTTGAAGTCTTGTTACGATACATTCCCCATGCATATTCGAAAACACATGAAGCAATGTATGCAACAAATAGACGAATGGATCTCTCAAAATAGGAGAAAATGCTACACAGTGTAAAATCTGAATTTTTCTTTGTTTACATTTCAAACAAGTGAGGTTTTCTGAGCACAGCGTTCGTTTTCACATAAGCTTCATTTCGCATCTTTCGTATGTCTTTTTAGTAAACACAATCCAATGTGGCGGAAAGTTCAATTCAGCGTTAATGTTTGCGTATTTTGCTAAACACTTCTAGTATTATTCGCGACAATTCAGAGTGATCATTGGTGATTTTATAAATCACAGATACCTGTCATCACGAATATGCAATTTTTATTTTTGAATAGTTCTCCGAGTAACTTAATTTCCGATATTGAGATGCAGAACATACGCGACATAACGCCGTGAATAGTGCTTCAGTAATTATGTCAAAAGAAGCGATATATACGATAAACCTAATTTTCAGAGGTCGTTTTCAGTAATTCTGCTTTGTCTAAAATCACAGTGCGGATGGTATTACAGAATAGAGAATTTACTGCACAATCAAGCACCGTGAAGCGTTTGCGTGATGTATGTTGAATTTGATTCTACTTCAAAGTGAGGGTTGTAGAGGAGGGACATATCCTGTGGCATGGGGTTAAACAACAAACAAAAAACTTAACCAATAACTCACCACACCACGTCTTCTCATCTCCGGGAGACTGTAGATATAGTCTAGCCTTACCAGACACAATGTGAGTTCTCCATGGTAAGTCTATCCGCCCAGCAATGGTTAATATGGCTGCGGCATGACAGGGTTAGGTCGTGTGTTAGTGGATGACGTCAGAGGGGAGATGAAGGAGAACATGATGTAGTGATGGAGACTTGTCCTGACTCCGTGCTATAAGTCAGCTCTCACCAAAAGCATAACAGAAATTTGTCAATTCCAGAAACTGCATCGGACAGCACTTTGCGATGAACGAGGAGAAGGTTCTGCTTGCGCGCATCCTTCACAGGTATGTGTGTGGAGTTTAGACGACGTCCGAGGTTTATGAATATACCTAGGAATAGCTCGACCAGATTGTAAACCGAATAGAAAGGAATACCGAGGCTCTATCCTAGAGGCTTTGCAATAATATGCTTGATCTAACTTAGGTATAATTAAAAAACAAATGTGAAGAAAATGTGTCAAATATAGAGCAAGCGCATAGGTCTGTAGTTATATTGTATCCTGTTATGATTCGATTATTATATATATTAACAGGAATATAGGATATCTACGCGATAAATCACATAGAAACATGAAGAACGAAGTGTGGTTTATTTCACAATAAAACATTGTTCTATCGTGACGTAATTTTTGGAGATTCCATTATGCGCTCGCAACTTGATGACGTCATATATTGGACGAGGTTATTTTTTTAGAGGGAAGTGTGTAGTGAGTTGTAGATGTAGAAGAGCAACGTAGATAAACTTTATGGCCGAACGATCGCATCCAAAAGTGGGAGATATGACAATCTGTTTTGGGAGAAAAGGTACAGATAATCGACATGCAAATTATGAGAATATCATGTATTCATAAATGTTGTAGATACCGGTTGGAGATAGACTCGGCTTATCCAGTCAAGAGGAAAGTGGCTGCTGTAATGAGGTCGATGACGGGCATCCGGGTGTTTGCCAAACTAAGGCAGAGGAGTCAGTGATGGCGGACAGAGAAAACTGGACGCGGTGCGGTGGAGGAGGGGAAGGAGTGTTCGTGAGCAGCCATTGAGCCTTTACAAACCCGAGCCGACATTGTGAACGGATTTGTTTGTTGTCTGTTGTGGTTGAAACAGATTTGTCGGTTTTGAGAACTTACTGGATTCTCGGGGATGTTTGACACACCAGATTAACAAACCGGAATAACAAACCGGTGTGCGTGCTGAATATTCAAAGAACCTATTTTAGGTGGTCATATCCAATAACATTCCCTGTTATAAGTTGTTTGGTCGTATTATTGTTATGAATGAATCGTTGACATGTGTAGAATGAACTTTCAAGTGTATTAAAATTAAATTTTCGTTGTGTTCATTGAAATTCCTGCATTCTGATTAGCTGAATTGGTCACGAGTCATTGCATTTATTTCCCAATGAATGTAAAACATTAAGCCACGCCCACCGAGGCGCACTACTTTTATTACTGCGGAATGTCGGGGAATCCCAAAATTACAGTCGAGAGAATGCCCTTTCTGCTCACGTGTATCGTCATGCACAGGACATTTAGCGACTTTCATGCATATCTATTGTCCAAACTACCCTTTGAAACCGAAGGCCGCGAATGAATGAAACAGCAAACGTGCAGGCTCGATCGCCTGTTTTTTCCCCGCTCGCCTCGGTTCAACTTTCATGTCTTCGGGTTTCATTTCTAACTAGCATTTTTCTCAATTGGTTTTCTCGTTTTCCGGGAAGTTATGTTTGAATCTGGCGGTAACTGACCATGTCATTTGAAACAGCCGCCTTCTCCCGGACATAATTGTTCCGGTTCGTTACAGTCTGACTGTTGCACTTCTTCTCGCGTAGCGGATTCTTACAAATGTTTGCACATCGATTTTTCGATTCATACCTCAATGAACCGAAACAAAAAACACAGTCAATCCTTAAATGAACAGATCCGGATAATATATGCCTGTTATGTTAATGTGATGCAAGATATGTTCAATGATATTACTTGGTGTTTCTCCCAAGGTATGTCCCTGTGTTGTAGACCCGTGAAGATCCGGGGTAGAATAGGTCTTCAGCATCCCATGCTTGCCGTAAAAGGTGGCTATGCTTGTCGTAAAAGGCGACTAACGGGATCGGGTGGTCAGGCTCGCTGACCTGGTTGAAACATGTCATCGATCCCAATTGCGTGGATCGATGCTCGTGATTTTAATCACTGGATTGTCTGGTCCAGACTCGATTATTTACAGACCGCCGTCATATAGCTGGAATATTGCTGAGTGCGGCGTTAAACAACCAACCAACCAACCAACCAACCCTGTGTTGTAAGGTACTAAACTGATTTGCAACAGCTTCCAAGGTGTTTCGGTTAATTAGCGAACATTTAACCTTTTGACCTTTTTTTGTTCATGTAATTTTTTAAGCTCTTATATCTTTGAATGCACAGTGCCATTTAGAAAGTGGTCAAATGTAACAAATGTTATATTTGGGTAAACGCTTTCTTAGTAACGTACAGATTCTCGTACTTTTATGGGCTGAGTCTGCCAGAGTGAGGCACCTCATCGCCAGCACACAAAGACAGCGATCTAACCCACTCTTGCCTTTTCGTTCCACCATCGAGCTTATGGTTTTGGTAGACATCCACACACCGTGTATTTATTAAAGGCTCTTCTGTAACCTCATTAAAGTGTTTCTACGTCAGAACGACACCTCTCTCAGGACACCTCCATAGGACGTTGCGTAAGGTGAAATCAGCCAATCAGCGCCGAGGCTTATAAATACTTGGCACGTGTGAGCAAAGCATTCAAATCAGCCTTTCCGACTTCTTTATTCTGAAAACGAACTAAAACGACAAGTTCCGAAAGGAAAAAAGTATAGCCTCTCTATTATATTCTTGTGGATATTTCAAAGTTCGCTGATGGTCCGCCTGAACGACCTTCTGTGGATGTGTCCTCACTCCAGAACGCAGAGATGTATCCATCGGAGCAAAGATGTGATCTTAATGAGACTGGGTCCTCGTGTAGGACGGGGCAGCTTATAGAAACTTCATCGATAGACCTCTTAGTGTATTACGGTGTTCATTTTCATCTTGTGTTATCGTGTGGGAGTAAGTGATTGCTCAGTTGTACCAGTGTTTCGGTCAAATGACGGCGGGCTATTTATTTTGTGGAGGATCGTCCACATGTTACGTGTGGAAATATGGCTGTGGTTCCTGCAGGCGATGATCCTCGACTTTCTCCACGTTGCCCTTTTTGATACAAACTCACAGTGCTCAAATGAAACGGATAACAAAGTCAAATAGGATGAGATGAATGATTATTGTTAAATTGTTAATGAATGTTTTTTATGATCTGATGTGATTTATTTTTTAAAGATTAAATATGTATTTATTTGCGCTCACGGGTGTCCTGTTTTCTTGGTTAAATCCACAGCCGACGACATATTTCACTTTGACATGAGTCGTGCGGCAGCAGGTGAGATGTTGGATGTAGCCGGTGTCACATCTTTTCCCGAGGCAAGGGAGTTAACTAACTATAAAAGTCCACTTTCCACCCTTGTCGAAATAGGCGCCACTAATAGCGCCTTTAGTGGCTATGGCGAGTTATGTCCCTTCTATATCCCTCCCATTGACTAATCCGATTCCAGCTCACATATCACGTGCATTTGCCTCAAACAAAATGGCGGCGCCGAGTGAAGAAAATCTGATCGATAATCAAGATCTATATTGTAATAAAACGTGTCTTCCTTCGCGAAGTGCATCAAATCACGTGGGCACCAACATGAAAGATTTGGAAAATATCTGTTGACGGTACACATGCTTTGCCAATCCTGCAATCGACCAAAATCTGCACGACAGTTTACGAACCGGATGTTGATTTCGTTGCGCGATATTGATTGGACAATGCCTAGACTCGTTAGTCCAGCCAAAATATAACTCCGTAATTCCAGCCTAATTCGGCAAGGGTGGAAACTGGACTTTTATAATTAGTAAGTTAACTCCCTTGCCTCAGGAAGATGCTTGTCGAAAGATAATGACTTGACCTTGACCTTGACCTTTGGGCGTTATGTTTCAGACGCATGCTTCGAACATATCGCAATAAAAAAAACATACACCCAAAACAAATCCAATGGCAATAGGTGAGCGATCTGTCGCGACACATACTGAACGAAGCGCCATAAAATACGGGCCCCTGCCACTGTCTGCTGCGACGGCCTGCTCTGAATACGCAACGCAATGCTACATCATCTAATTTAACCCTTATTTGTTGACATTGTTTTCTTCACACAGTGTGTGCGTGTGTGCGCACGTGCGTGCGTGCGTGCGTGTGTGTGATGCATGTTGAGAGCTCTCATCAATTACTAGGACTAACAACGTCATTTTGAATGAACATGTGTATCATTGACCGAGATCCTTATTTTATATCCACCCACACAGCCTACAATAACTTCCTGGGCGCTAGCATCAAACCAAATATTTGCCCGACCGTTGCTGTGTGAAGTGTTGTTCTACGTTTGTAAAGTAATATATCGCAATTATCTATCTATCTATCTGTCTGTCTGTCTGTCTGTCTGTCTATCTATTTGATTACAAGTTACCAGTAACCCTAGACAAGTCTTTGAACATGGTGGAATTCTTTCCAGATATGAGAAGTGGAAGTATGGTCTTAATCAAATTGATTGCATGCCATTGTATACATATTTAGGTGTATGTTTTGCAAGGAATTTATCTTGGTCAAAACACTGCAATAATGCAGCATCTAAGGCTAAAAGGATACTGTTTTCAATCTTGAAATCACTTGTGATTAATAAACCGATTTCATATAAACATTTTTTTCAAAATCGTTGATGCCAAGGTTGTTCTCATTTGCTGTATGGTAGGGACATTTGGAGTATGGATAATAATAAAGTAATAGAAGCTGTCCACACACTTGCTTGTAAAAGATTCCTAGCGGCCTAGAAGTCCCTTCTCTTAAAATATGGTTTTAGATTTATTTGGAAAACCAGAAAGTTTACAGTCAGGAATCTTTAATGGCAAAATGTATTTGTAGATTAAATGTCTCCGATCAACAGGTCTGCTGAGATGGGTGGTAGTTCTAAGGTGTTACATTGTTCATTGTTCAAGAATTAAATTGAGGCTGTTGAGCCTTATATAACTACAGTAACAATATGTAAATTCAGGTATGCTACAGTTCCGCTGTCTATCGAGACAGGTAGATATGTACACGTACCAGAGAACAAAGACTATGCAAGGTTGGTAATCTGGGCTGCATATGAAGCTAAGATAAGATAAAATAAGACAAGACTTCATTACCCCAAGGGAAATTTATATTGCACAGTTGATTAGCACTAAAACATGAAAAACAATATATGATATTAAAATATGAACATAAGACACTTATTTATATACCACGGGTAAAAACATGTAGAGAATTGAACACTACCACAGTGACGACAAGGAATGGTATTTGAAAGTATACTGCTCAAAAGAAGTTAAGGATCACCCGATTCTTTCATAATGGTAAAGTTAATCTGTCATGACATGAGAGATTAACTATAGTAATATGAAAGAATCAGGTGATCCTTAACTTCTTTTGAGTAGTATACATGTATTATAGTATTAAACAGATAAACATTCAGAAGACTAATACTGGCTGGTCTGAATGAGTTCCGGGTCCTGTTTGGTTTCAGCGTCGGCATGCTCAGTCTACGGCCAGAAGGTAGAAACTGATATTCGGAATGAAGTATATGACAGCTGTCATTAAGTATCTTACGCACCTTTTTGACAATTTGCTGCACATAAATTTCGCCGATGTGTTGAAATTGGGTACCTGAGATTTTTTCTTACTGTATTTAAAATTTTATGTAGTTTAGATTTATTTTGAACAGACAGGCTCACATACCAACAGTTCACATTAAAAACTAAAATGCTTTGAATAAATGTTTTATAAAACAGAGAGAGTATTGTATTATCAAGTTAAAAATACCTAAGACGCCGTAAGAAATACAATCTCTTTTGGCCCTTTTTTTTTATAAATATGCTACGTGCTAGCATTCCAAATGCGTTTCGAATCAATAATGGTGCCAAGATACTTATGTTTTTCAACCAAATTAATATTTTCGTTATCAATACTACTAAAATAGTTTTAACTCCCTTGGTTCCTGCACATGGAAAGAAGAACAACGGTACAAATACCAGTTTCTACACATGGAAAGAAGAAAAACGGTACAAATACCAATTCCTACACATGGAAAGAAGAACAACGGTACAAATACCAGTTCCTACACATGGAAAGAAGAACAACGGTACAAATACCAGTTCCTACACATGGAAAGAAGAAAAACGGTACAACTACCAGTTCCTACACATGGAAAGAAGAACAACGGTACAAATACCAGTTCCTACACATGGAAAGAAGAACAACGGTACAAATACCAGTTCCTACACATGGAAAGAAGAACAACGGTACAAATACCAGTTCCTACACATGGAAAGAAGAACAACGGTACAAATACCAGTTCCTACACATGGAAAGAAGAACAACGGTACAAATACCAGTTCCTACACATGGAAAGAAGAACAACGGTACAAATACCAATTCCTACACATGGAAAGAAGAACAACGGTACAAATACCAGTTCCTATACATGGAAAGAAGAACAACGGTACAAATACCAGTTCCTACACATGGAAAGAAGAACAACGGTACAAATACCAGTTCCTACACATGGAAAGAAGAACAACGGTACAAATACCAGTTCCTACACATGGAAAGAAGAACAACGGTACAAATACCAATTCCTACACATGGAAAGAAGAACAACGGTACAAATACCAGTTCCTACACATGGAAAGAAGAACAACGGTACAAATACCAATTCCTACACATGGAAAGAAGAACAACGGTACAAATACCAGTTCCTACACATGGAAAGAAGAACAACGGTACAACTACCAGTTCCTACACATGGAAAGAAGAACAACGGTACAAATACCAGTTCCTACACATGGAAAGAAGAACAACGGTACAAATACCAGTTCCTACACATGGAAAGAAGAAAAACGGTACAAATACCAATTCCTACACATGGAAAGAAGAACAACGGTACAAATACCAATTCCTACACATGGAAAGAAGAACAACGGTACAAATACCAATTCATACACATGGAAAGAAGAAAAACGGTACAAATACCAGTTCCTACACATGGAAAGAAGAACAACGGTACAAATACCAATTCCTACACATGGAAAGAAGAACAACGGTACATTCTGAGGCTTTCAAATACCAGTCTACGCTGGAATGTATTTCTAGGAAACTCAGAAACTATAAATCAATGATTTTAAACTATAAAGTGGGTACGATCTAATTTCAAAGCAAGATGGTGGTGGTAGCCCCCCCCCCCCCCCCCCCCCCCCCCCCCCCCCCCACACACACCTTTTTCATGACAGGAACCCACGCATCGGGATATGACAAATGTGAGCGTGCCGAGGTTGCTTGTGACGCAGTATTGCAGGACACCTGCGGTCATATAAGTTTTCCCGGGTTAATACGCCATGACGGAACAAGACTCAGTTGTGTGGAGATTTCACCCCTATAGATTAACCTTTGTCATACCTTTTTTAGGAGAGTTGATTTATAAAATCAAAGATGAAGTCTTGGTACATTTCCGAATTTGATACCTTTTCAACGAGGTAGTTTTTTACTATTTGCAAAAGCACGAGTTTCAGCTTTAAATAGTTTTTGGGGAGTAGATGGATTAACAGGTAAAGCGGTCACTCGTGTTATTTCGTGACAAGCTGAATGGCGAATCGTGCCCGTCTCGTGCATTCGTGACCAACTCGTGTTATTCGGGGACAAGCCGAATAGCGACTCGTGCCCCTCTCATGGCCATTTTGGCGACCGGGTTCCGTCTTAGCGCAAACGGGCATACCTAAAACAATTGTCAACTCGTTGCCTAATGGTTAACATATATTTCCCCATATATTATATATATTTCAGATGCAATTTAAAGCACATCGGGACATTCGGAATGATACAGTATGATTGAACACATGTAACTGTGTCTTGGGTATATTTTTAGATGCAAGTCATATGTAAAATCAAAACATATTTCTCAGGTATTCTTTGACGAAGAACTTGAAATCATGCGCGCATTCTGATTGGTTTGTTGTATTTTCGCGCATAACATTCATCGATAAGGGGACGAGTCTTCTTGAAGGTTACGGAAAGGGGCGAGGTGGTGACGAATGGGCCACAAGGATGGCATAATGTCACGTGACACGACAGACCAGCTCGTCAAAAGATGAAAGCCAAGGCTGCGAGTAGCAGTGATGAATGTTTAACAGTGAACAATTTGAAAAATTCCAAACGCGACGATGCTGTACTATGTGCCAAACTATATCCCATACTATGTCCCGTACTATGTCCCGTAGTATGTGCCGTGGTATGTGTCGTACTATGTGCCGTACTATGTCCCGTACTATGTGCCGTACTATGTGCCGTAGTATGTGCCGTAGTATGTGCCGTACTATGTCCCGTACTATGTGCCGTAGTATGTGCCGTACTATATCCCGTACTATATCCCGTACTATGTCCCGTACTATATCCCGTACTATGTCCCGTACTATGTGCCGTACTATATCCCGTACTATGTCCCGTACTATATCCCGTACTATGTGCCGTACTATATCCCGTACTATGTGTCGTACTATATCCCGTACTATGTCCCGTACTATATCCCGTACTATGTGCCGTACTATGTGCCGTACTATGTGCCGTACTATGTACCGTACTATGTCCCGTACTATATCCCGTACTATGTGCCGTACTATGTCCCGTACTACATCCCGTACTATGTGCCGTACTATGTCCCGTACTATGTGCCGTACTATGTGCCGTACTATGTCCCGTACTATATCCCGTACTATGTGCCGTACTATGTCCCCGTACTATGTGTCGTACTATATCCCGTACTATGTCCCGTACTATATCCCATACTATGTGCCGTACTATGTGCCGTACTATGTGCCGTACTATGTCCCGTACTATGTGCCGTACTATGTCCCGTACTATATCCCGTACTATGTGCCGTACTATGTCCCGTACTATGTGTCGTACTATATCCCGTACTATGTCCCGTACTATATCCCGTACTATGTGCCGTACTATGTGCCGTACTATGTGCCGTACTATATCCCGTACTATGTGCCGTACTATGTCCCGTACTATGTGTCGTACTATATCCCGTACTATGTCCCGTACTATATCCCGTACTATGTGCCGTACTATGTACCGTACTATGTACCGTACTATGTGCCGTACTATGTACCGTACTATGTGCCGTACTATGTCCCGTACTATGTGCCGTACTATATCCCGTACTATGTCCCGTACTATGTCCCGTACTATGTGCCGTACTATGTGCCGTAGTATATCCCGTACTATGTCCCGTACTATGTGCCGTACTATGTGCCGTACTATGTGCCGTAGTATGTGCCGTAGTATGTGCCGTACTATGTGCCGTACTATGTCCCGTACTATGTGTCGTACTATATCCCGTACTATGTCCCGTACTATATCCCGTACTATGTGCCGTACTATGTGCCGTACTATGTACCGTACTATGTCCCGTACTATATCCCGTACTATGTGCCGTACTATGTGCCGTACTATGTGCCGTACTATATCCAGTACTATGTGCCGTACTATATCCCGTACTATGTGCCGTAGTATGTGCCGTACTATGTGCCGTACTATGTGCCGTACTATGTACCGTACTATGTACCGTACTATGTGCCGTACTATGTACCGTACTATGTACCGTACTATGTACCGTACTATATCCCGTACTATGTCTCGTACTATGTGCCGTACTATGTGCCGTACTATGTGCCGTAGTATATCCCGTACTATGTCCCGTACTATGTGCCGTACTATGTGCCGTACTATGTGCCGTATTATGTGCCGTAGTATGTGCCGTACTATATCCCGTACTATGTGCCGTACTATATCCCGTACTATATCCCGTACTATATCCCGTACTATGTCCCGTACTATGTGCCGTACTATGTGCCGTACTATGTGCCGTACTATATCCCGTACTATGTCCCGTACTATATCCCGTACTATATCCCGTACTATGTCCCGTACTATGTGCCGTAGTATGTGCCGTACTATATCCCGTACTATGTCCCGTACTATGTGCCGTACTATGTGCAGTACCATGTCCCGTAGTATGTGCTGCAGTATGTGCCGTACTATGTCGCGTAGTATGTGTCGTACTATATGCCGTACTATGTCCCGTAGTATGTGTCGTACTATGTCCCGTACTATGTCCAGTGGTATGTGTCGTACTATGTCCCGTAGTATGACCCGTTCTATGTGCCGTTCTATGTGCCGTACTATGTGCCGTACTGTGTCCCGTACTATGTGCCGTACTGTGTCCCGTAGCATGTGCCTTACTATGTGCCTTACTATGTCCCGTAGTATGAGCCGTACTCAGTGCCGTTCTGTGTGCCGTACTATGTGCCCTTCTATGTCCCGTACTATGTGCCGTACTATGTGCCGTACTATGTCCCGTAGTATGTGCCGTACTCAGTGCCGTACTTTGTGCCGTAGCATATGCCGTAGCTTTGTTCAAGCTTTGTCAGCACACACAGCTCTCATAGGTTTCACCAAAGTTGTGAACGACTTGCATCACTGACACGCGGGGATATAACTTACATTCTGTTCAAGGTGTTGTGATACCCAACTCACTCACTCACCCACGTGTGTATTTTATAGTAACACCCAAGTATATGCACAATGTCCGGTTGTAATTTGATAACCAATACAGCCACAAAAAGACACACGAAGGAAGCCGCCGAACCATTGACTGATCAGAAGCAGTGAATTTCATATCTCCCCTTCATATCCGTGTGAGATATTTGCTTGGCAGTAATAATACACGTACAAAGTCTTCTGACCATTGACCTGGATATAGATAATATATATCTATATGGCCACTCTTCAAAGGTGCTCTACAGCACTGAAATACATGCATGTATGAACGTGTGTGAAACGTCTTCTCGGTACCTCAGGGACGTCGTGAACACCAAAACCTGTCCTCGAAACTTCCTCATAAATTTTCGGTCTGTCAGATTGCATTTTCGGACGTTTGAAAGCATTGGTGTTATTGATAGACAAATACGGCGCCTCGCGATAAAGGCCCGTATGGACGTTATGATCGCGCGAGTGTTTGCGCACGACGTCATAAGGGTCGCAGCGCCCCCTTGTGTTAAGATTAAAGCAAACATGGTTATTGTTGTCGGCGGCGCCGGTAAGGGTCTCCACACTTATACTGTAATTTGGAGATAAACCCTGAGAATAGGCTGGTCAGATCCTACCCTTGGTTCAGCGCTAATACTTGTTGTCATTGCTCGCTTGCTGGTGTACTGTAGGGTCGCTTGTCTTTTAGTAGCATTGGGAGATGAAAGAATTAATTATGCTTGAAATCTTGCAGATTTAATGAAATGAGTGAGAGTGAGTATGGTTTTACGACGCTTTTAGCAATATTCCAGCAATATCACAGCGGGGGACACCAGAAATGGGCTTCACACATTGTACCCAAGTAGGGAATCCAACCCGGGTCTTCGGCGTGACTGGCGAACGCTTTAACGCTAGACAACTCCACAGCCTAGAGAGAGAGAGAGAGCCATGATAAAGGTGATCAAATTCGAGTCAATCACAACTACTGCAGAGGGAACAATGAAATAGATAATGTTGGAATACTCCTAAAGAAAAAGGGCTCATACTGAAATTATATGGTTTTTTTTGTGTTTGTTTTTTAACGTCGCAGGTTTAGCTGTATGCCTCCGCATGTAAATAATCGAGTCTGAGCCAGACAAACCAATGGCTGATATCATGAGCTCCTGAGACTCCTATACTGACCACCCGATCCCCATTTCGTCCCATGGGTATCACTGTGGCTGTTAGTGTCAATTGTATTCACTACATGCCTAACAGTCTCAGGTTAACGTCCAGTACAAATGAAAGTTAATACCCAGCCTTTGCTTTTTCATACCTTTATATTTGTAAGTATATATTCCAGGCACTATATGTGAAAGTATATACGCCAGGTACTTTATATATGAAAGTTTATGTTCCACGGACTATTTTGGAAACATGGACAGCTCTGTTAAAGCGCAGTGTCTTTTTAGAAACAATGGGCGGTCGGGTAGCTTAGTGGTTAAAGCGTTCGCTCGTCACGCCGAATACCCTGGTTCGATTCCCGACATGGGTACAATGTGTGAAGCCCATTTCTGGTGTCCTCCGCCGTGATATTGCTGGAATATTGCTAAAAGCGGCGTAAAACCATACTCACTCACTCACTTTTCAGAAACAACCTGTGGGGATGTCGTAGGAGGCGATGTTTGTTGGTTTGTTGTTTAACGCCTCACTCAGCAATAGTCCAGCTATATGACGGCGGTCTGAGAATAAGTCTGGACCAGACAGTCCAGTGAGTGACATCATGAGCATCGATCCACACAATCGGGATGCGATGACATATATTAACCAAGTCAGCGAGCCAGACCACCCGATCCCGTGAGTCGCCTTTTACGACAAGCATGGGTTGCTATTCTACCCCGGATCTTCACGGGTCAGGAGGCGATGTCACAGACCGGGAGGTCAAGCTCGGTGTGCGTCAAGTGTGTGTGTTAGTGTGTGTGTGTGAGTGTGTGTTAGTGTGAGTGACTGAATATGTGTGCGTGCGTGCGTGCGTGCGTGCGCGCGCGTGAGTGTGTCACTGGTTTTACGACATCTGGGGCAGCGATTAGTCATGTCGTTCCCGACCTCGATCGCAAAAACAACAAACAACTTTGGTATATATCAGTATGACACAGTCACTGTCCTACACTGCATGTATGTCTCCTACAGATAAGGCTACTTTCCCGCGGAAGAACGTTTGCTTAAATGTACCTCGCCTGCTTCCTCTGACTACTACTGCGTAAGCTACTTTAGGAATATTGTGTTATGACGTCACTAGAAATGAACAAATTATGCTGGTTTCATCCCAAATTCCTATTATATAGAAGTCACGAATGACTTAGGGCGGTGGGGTAGCCTGGTGCTTAAAGCGTTCGCCAGTCACGCCGAAAGCCTGGGTTCAATGTGTGAATATCATTCTGGTGTCCCCCGCCGCAATATTGCTGGAATATTGCTAAAAGCAGCGTAAAACCATACTCACTCACTCATAAATAACTTTGACAACGAGTAAACATATTACGAAACCACACGAGACATCTGCATTTTAGGTAATCCATGTTCAGGGACTAAACCATAATGCTACCCCTGCGTCACAGGGCTATATGACACAGTTGAACCAATCAACTCAACTCGAAAGGGTGCACGGGAATCACGCACGTTGAGACGCCCAACGCTAACACCGTATTCGTGCGTGCGTGATTCCCGTGCACCCTTTCGAGTTGAGTTGATTGGTTCAACTGTGTCATATGGCCCTATGACGCAGGGGTAGCATTATGCAGATGGCTGTTTCAATGAATGCTCGTTCCACCCGTGACGAACAGTTCTGGTTGCTGATGAAATATAGTGATAGCTAAATAGACAGATTTTTTATTCATGCACCGATTGTCTTTAAATGTAATATCCAGTTATGTATGACTGTTTAATAATCTCATACCAACTTTGACTGGAGTAGGTCCGATAGTTTTTCAGATATTGTAGTAAACGTCGGTACCTTTAATACCCTTCCAGACTATATGTAAGTGTAATAAACTCGGACGCGACGTTAAACCCTTTTTTACCACCTTTTACCTATTAGAACACTTGGTTCAAGTCTTTAGTTCAAATTCAATTTATTTATCACGTAAACCGAGTAGTTTTGCTTCGGAAAGGAATATTTAATAAATATAGCCGAAGAAGGATCAAGCTGACCTATTTGTTATAAGTGTACAACCGTAGGAGTGAACACTGAGATAAGAAAACTTTTATTGTTTCACGTCGAAATAAAAATTCAGGGCCGGCGGGGGTTGGAAAACATAGAAATAATCACGGACAGCCTAATGGCGATGTATACTTGTGGTCTCATATTCTTTGTTTGTTTGTTTGTTTGTTTATTTGTTGTTAAACGCCGCACTCAGCAATATTCCAGCTATATGACGGCGGTCTGTAAATAATCGAGTCTGGGCCAGACAACCCAGTGATTGACATCATGAGCATCGATCCATGCAATTGGGATACAATGACATGCATCTACCAAGTCAGCGAGCCTGACCGATCCCGTTTGTCGCCTCTTACAGCAAGCATGGGTTCCTGAAGACCTATTCTACCCCGGATCTTCACGGGGCGGTTTCATTATCTAAAGAGGCGGTTGGGTCCGGGTGGTAATATTGGTTGGTCACACCGAACACCCGGGTGTGCTCCCTGACATGCGTGTCAAGCCCATTCTAGGAGAGTTAGTTGTAGAATGTGTTAATCCCTACTGAATCGACCAACCCTACAGAGAAATACGGATACCAGTGACACCCTATATACAGACGGTGCCCAGTATGAGGTACACTAGCGCGAGTGTGATACCAATAACGTAACATAACATGACTGGGCCTGTCTGTCGGTGTCGTCAAGTAGGGGCCGTAAGGTGAAGTGGTGTTGTGATAGGAGATAGGCAGAACAACATAACTGCGACGAACAACTCTCACTGTTTAAACACCAAGTAGGGGGATATGGAGCGATGTCGGTGTGGAGAATATACCTAACAAAGGAAGATACAACCAGATTTAACAGTTTGTTTATTAGAAACATACAAATGTTTACACACTTGAGATAACAGATTTCTGTTTGGATACGGATACACGTGATTTATTTTGATATTCTTTATACTAATTGAAATTAATCAAACTAAAACCATTTTTAATCACGATCCGTATGAAGATGGAATCCTAATTTTCATAAATTGAAAACCGTTTGTTTCTTTTTGAAAAAATATACGCTGTAAAAATCTGATATTTTATCATCACTCTACATGTAAAAGTATCTTTTTATGCTAATCACAGTGTCAGATAGGCTAGGCTTATTTAGTTAGATTGGCGTTATTTTGATATATGCTATTTTCATAGTCCTTTGATTCGTATTTAATAAATGAAGCCATATTTTCTAGCATTTCCGACATCACTTGAGTTTCGCCTCTATTGCCACTTGAAGACCGTTTTACGAATTTGTTGTTTTCATTCAGTTTGAAACCTAATCAAGGTAAAGTTTTGTGGATGTTGTTTCTGAGAAAGGTTAATAAAGAACGTATTCATTTGAACACTCCTATACTTCATCTCCATCTCATACATCAACCAAGACCAATTCTATCAAGCCTGCATAAATCACTGACTTGTACAGAAATAATAAAGAAGTATCACTTAAGAGGATGACATAAATATTGTTAAGGTCGGCCGGGGTTTTAATGTTTGTACCTATTTTGTGTAAATGGCATGGTCTCTACATCTGGGGCCCGTGAAGATCTGGGGTAGAATAGGTCTTCAGCAACCCATGCATCTTGAAAGGCGACTATGTTGTCGTAAGAGCGACTAACAGGA